ATTTAAGGATTTTTTTTAAATTTCAGTTTGTTTATTAATTTTGTTTTAAAATCAGTTCATCATTTGGCAACATTGGCGTTCGTGTACATTGTTTACATTTTAATTTGTATCAATTACAATTCGATTTTTTCTTACTTTTTAGCTTTAAATTTGTTTATTTCGTATAGTATATGATAGTGTTTATATTAAAAATGAAATCTGCGAAAAAAGTCCCCAGCAAATTGCAATCTATATGGTGTTAATGTCAAAATAAAAACTAAGTACCTATTCATTATTTTCCAAGTGCAAGTTGTAAAATTTTGTTTTTTACGATAAATGGATATCTACAAATTCACAATATTGCAATTTTGCAAAACTTTGTTTAGAATCAAACTGTAATCTGATTTGTGACGGTTTTATTACCATTTACATGTATACAAAGTACTACATAATTCACTTCATAATATAAGAATTAGTCTAATAAGTTCATAATAATAAACGTTTGGTACCTGGAATGTCCTTTAAACCACATAATAAAACATGCCTTCGGTTTAGTAAACACATATTTCTAGATGTTCTTGTAGCAACCAATAGGTGAATATTTCTAACAAATTAAGTCATACACATGATAAATATTATATTTATGACGAGATAAACTTAAATTAACACTAAATGAAACTCAAAAACACTATTACAAAGAGAATATTATCTAAAAACAGTTAAATAAATCACAAATACAAAATCCGCCCAAAACAAACACGTAAATAAACAACAATACCGGTATTATGTGAGATACTTTGTGGTAGAGGCATTGATACTGTTCGATATTATGTTAAAGATATCGATATTTAGAAGTATCGAGTAACAAAGTATCGAACAATTAAAGATTTTTTTAACAACCGACAACCCCCATTCAACAGGGCGAAGTGGGGAACTTAACTAAAAACAAGAGTTGCATCAGTAAAGTATATTCTGTAGTAAAAAGCCACAAGAAAAAGTGCCAAGTGACATTTTTTTTATGTTTTGTTATGACTTATGACAAACGAATGGCTACGTTCGAAAACAATAATGTTACGCAGCACCCTGCAATAGATAAGAATAATCCAGAAATGTCCAGAAATGTCATTACCCGTCAAGAACATTCTAGATGACAGGTCGAGAAGGTTCGAGAAGGTCAAGAAAGTTATATAAGTCGACGATCTGACGTCAGAGTTCAGTTTTATGATAGACGTTATACGTGAATGTTATCAGTTGTAAAGTTATGGCAAAGTTGAATTATAGTTATTGTAAAGTTCAGTAGAAATAAATTGTGATACCAAAAACTAGCGTAACATTGGTGACAGCGGTGGGATCTAAACTAAAAGTTCATGGTAAATACCAGATCTACAGAGTACGAAGCAGAAATGGACACTTCAGGCCCAACAACATGGTTTTGGAAGATGGAAGAGGAGAGAGTAAGGCGAAAAGAGGAAAGGGAAAGGCGCAGGAAGGAAGAAGAGGAGGAAAAGGAACGGCGTAGGAAGGAAGAAGAGGAGGAAAAGGAACGGCGTAGGAAGGAAGAAGAGGAGGAAAAGGAAAGGCAAGAAGAGGAGAAAGAGAGACGCAGGATGGATGAAGAAAAAGAGAAGGAAGAGAGGCGTAGACAAGAAGCGGGAGAAATTATGAATGGTTTGCTGCAAATCCAAGAAACCTTCAAGCAAGAGGTTAGTCAGCTTAAAATTAGAATAGATCTGCTAGAGCAACAACAAGAGCATCTAAAAGCTAATTTAGAGAAACAGCAAGAGAATTTGAAAGCTAATTTAGAACAACAAGAACAGGCTAGACTAGAGTTGGAAAGGCAAATTAGAGCCGAAATGGCTGAGTTAGAAAAAATAATATACAGCCAAGCTTCAGTAAGCAGCATTAAAGCTGCAAACACTACTACCTCGTCTTCGAATCCCAGTTTCACAAAACTATACTAGCAAGACCCTGAAACCACCCACGTTTGACGGTCAGACAACATGCGAATCATATCGACTCCAATTTAAAGCTGCAGCTAGAGCCAATGGATGGACCGAGAAAGAGATGGCGGCTTCATTAATAGTGTCACTGCGAGGTCAGGCAGCAACTGTTTTACAGTTACTTCCTCAAGAGGAACCCAGTTATTCATCTCTCGTCCAAGCTTTGGAGACAAGATATGGCCAGCAGCATTTGCAACGGGTATTCCAAAGCCAACTAAAGGTTCGTAGTCAGAAACATAATGAGAGTCTACAGGAATTTGAGGCTGATATAAGAAGGTTGATTCATCTGGCCTATCCACGGGTGCCGAAAGATTTCCAAGAACAACTCGGAATACAAGCATTCATTGATAGACTACAAGATGCGGAAATGCAGCAAGTCCTTCGTCTACAACATCACAAGACACTGAAGGAGAAACTGATTGCAGCCCAGGAATATGAAGCGGTAAAACTCATATCCAGATCTTCTTGCGCAAAAATGAGAGAAATTAAATCACAGGAAAGTGAGGAGACCCATACTAATGCTATTCCCCAAATACTCTCTCGCAAATATTAAATATTCTGCAAAATATACAACGAAATAACCAAAATAAGAACAGAAGATGCTTCAATTGCGGGAGAATCCGGCACCTTCAAAGAACTTGTAGAAGCAGAGCTCGTTCTATAAATAGAGAATCAGGGAATGAAGTAAGAAAGTCACAAAGATCAATCTTCCGAAGCCCGTCACGAAGTCCAACAAGAAATAGTCACAGCAGCCATGCGTCCCGAAGTAGCCAATCACCCACACCGAGCCGGTTTTGTAGAAATAATCAGGAAGTAGAGTCCATCTGTATAGCAATGCAGACATTCTCTCCAGGCGACCCTGTTTAGAACGAGAATGCCAGTACAGTAAGGGGCTCGGAGAACGGGAAGAACCAGTTGATAAAGTTAACGTGAATGTTATCAGTTGTAAAGTTATTGTCAAAGTTGAATTATAGTTATTGTAAAGTTCAGTTGAAATAAATTGTTATACCAAAAACCAGCGTAACAATAGGATGTTCACAGTACTTCCCGTGGATACTTTTTTAGCAAATTACTTTATTACGGTGTGTTATTAAACCATGTAGATTAAATACGTAAGTAACAAATAGATTTGCGAGATTTTATTTCCCTCAACAACTTCACATGAACGTTGCATTTACGTTGTATAGTAATGTTATTACGTTCCCTTTAAACAACATCGCCGGAAGGCTTGGAAACGTTATGTACTAGCTGGGTATAAATGGACGACAATCTCAAATTGTACTAGAATAAATTTCTAAGATCCACCACTCGTCTACCCAGCATTCAGTTTTCCAGTACGGTGCGCCGTAAACGTGAAATGAAAGAAAAGCGAAGTGAGAAAAATCGGTTCCCATCTGGATGGATCTCCTTCCGGTCAGGCTACAAACTTTTCACCTCGGGATAAAAAATTCCAATTCAGTCCCTTAAATTGGTATATAATATACTATTTATTAGGTTTTACTTCTCTAATATTATCTACAGCTCCTGAGATATAGCCAGTATTTAAATTGTCACCCCGTATGGTCTAATCTGGTTCTTCGCCAGAAAAAAACGACCCGTTTCAAACCTAATGCCAGTCCACAACAAGCGCCGACTCTGATTACAAATGGATTACACCATCACTAAAAATTATCTCGAACAAAAACAAAACGCGTCACTTGTTGTTAAAAACATTTTAATTAATAAATAACAGACAATCTAGTGTAGTTAAATTTTGCTTAACGAGTTGTTGTTTGGTTTCGTCTAAAGGTAAGCGTATTTCTGTAATCTTTATTAAAATATCGATTTTAGGGTTTTCTCACTTTTCTCAGATTCCTATCTCTCTTTATGGATCATTAAGACATATATGATAACATGAATGTGAGTTCTTTGATGAAAGTCAGTTGTTTTTTGGCCAGGTTTTGGGATAAACGAGGTAATCGTATAGATCTAGAAGATTTTAAAGTTTTGAATAATTTTTAAACATGTCCTTTTTCTTTGTTTGTTGTATGACTTATAGGTATATAAATATAAGATAAATATACAGGGTGGATCACCAGGAACTGCATTGATCAATATCTCAGAAACTGCATCAATCAATATTTCAGAAACTGGGTGTAGGAAAAATTTATAAAATTGCGAATTTGCTAGATGTCTTGGGGCTTATTCAGCTAAAATATTTTTATTTTGGAAAACTAATCATACAGTGTGTTTAAAAATAAAGTTTAAAATGTGATTCAGAAAACTGCCAAAAAACTATTTTCTCAGAGTCTTGAGTAGAATCCAAAAATGTAATAATATATAAGCCATATAGCCACAAGACATCTATAAAGTTCCCGAATTTTTAAATTTTTCCTACATCCAGTTTCTGGGATATCGATCGATGAAGTTCCTGGTAGTCCATCCCGTATATTTTTAGCAATTCTGAATTAAATGGCCAATATTCTAGTTGTAGTTCACTTTTTTCACACAAAATATTACCTATTTTCTTTTTAATGTCGATAACAACAAAAGTTACAAAGTCTTTGATTTTTATTAAAGAGTTGCAAAAAAATTATATGTTACGTCTCAAAATCATTTTGTAAGTACAAATCTTACGACTAGAGAACAAAAACAACCTTATTTCGCAACTTGTTGCATAAATAACTATTATTACAACCGGAAGTATGGCATTAGACGTGTTAAACAAAATTTCACAATTTTTATTATACAGTTTGTTTCATAAAGTTGGATCCATATGGGATTTTTTTAATATTAGGATTTGAAAAACACGTCGTAGGGTATTCACCTCTGCTTATTTAAAAACTTAAAATAGCACATGTTAAATAAACTGTTAATCCGAATTTGTCCGAAACCAACTTTGTTATGGGCTATTTTGAATTTTTAAATAAGCAAAGATGATTTCCCCTAGGTCGATTTTTTCCATTCGTAATATTAAAAAATAATCCCATATGGATTGAGCTTTCCGAAGGATAGAAGAAAACTGGGACAACACATTTAAAGATGGTTTTCGAAATTAATGAAAAAGTAGCACTTATAACTGGTGGCGCAAATGGGATTGGATTGAACTTTGCGAAGGCATTACTCTCTAAAGGTTTAAAGGTTAGTATCATTTATACAGGGTGTAACAAAAACGTAGGTCATAACTTATTTTCTAGATAATTTTTCAATGTTCAGAATTATCAAATAAGGGAAAATACCTCATTTCTTAAGTTTGGTTTTTATTATGACTGTAGACAAAAAATTCTGACATACAGGGTATTTTTTAAAAATCTACGAATTTATTCATTTTCTTGTAAATACGGACCTGGATTTTGTTTCTTCTTTGTACCTTAGTAGATTCGGTAAATTATGGAGAATGCGCAATGAGCCATATATCAAAAACATACCTATGCATTGTGGTTGGCAAGTTATGAGTAAAAAAATAGACAAAATTTATAAAACACCCTGTAGGTATTTCGGTAACAAAGGATGAAATACACATTAAAGTATGGTTTATTTGGACTCCATCGACAGTGAAACACTATGAATGAGGTTATTAATGAAGTTTCAATCAATATTGATAACAGTAAAAAATGTACTGTAGTATTCCTAGATCTAGCAAAGGCGTTCAACACAGTATCTACATCAAAAATCACTGTTCGAACGGTGTGGAATCCATGGAAGTTTTTTTAAAGATTTTTAAAAGAACGGTCACAATATGTTAAAGTCAGTAGATTCAAAATGAATAGGAACTAGTGCGAGTTTTTTTCAAAAAAAAGTTTACTTCATGTTATTTTTTCTTATTTTTTCTCATTTTTTCAACGACATAAAAAATAATACCTACTTAGTATCTTTTTTAAATAAAAAAATCTGATGTGTCCAACACATGACTTTCCTATCTAGTTATTATAGGTTTTTTCCGGTTATTTTGTACAACCTATTGTAGCACTTCTATAAATGTTTAGAGAATAAACTAAATATATACATTTTCCACATACATTTAACTCGAAACATTTTTCTACAGATATTTATTGAAAACGAAAATACTGAAAAATTAAAATTTATCACTTTTCCTAAAATTTTTCCATTACGGTGCATTTTCGAAAAATCATGTAAAAACATAAATTATAGAGATAGATATCGCAAACAACTTTTAGTTTAACAATTTTCTTAAAAATCAAAATTTTGCACATTTTTTCAAATTTTTCGAATACGGACCATTTCAGGAAAATTTGACAAAAGAAATTATAAATAATAATATAAGAAGTAACTTTTATTTGAACAATTTTCTTCTCCAAACATAAATAACAGATATTATACTTCATAAAATATGGAAACGGCCTCCCATAAAGTACTCCCCCATATGTTCCGACTTTGTCCAAAATTTAGTCATTTTACGTCAGGCCGAAATAAAACTTAAGTTAAAAATTTAATGTTTTTCCTTTATCCGTTTTTGAGTTTTCTTCAAAATTCGAAATTTACACATTTTCTCAAATATCTCGAATACGGTCAATTTTAAAGAAATTATGTATAAGATAAAAATTATAGAGAATTATATTATAAACAACTTTTATTTGAACAATTTTTATAAAAGAATATTTTTTTACATTTTGTCAAATTTCTCACACACACGCACGCACGCACGCACGCACCCACACACACACACACACACACACACACACACACTCACACGCACACACACACACACACACACACGCACGCACACACACACACACACACACACACACACACACACACACACTCTGTATACAGATAGGAAAGTAAAAACTTCATTATAATGTACAACCGGTTTATTTTAAGAATAATTATGAATATCAGCATACTAATGTTAAATTTAAGTAATCTTATCAAAGATAATTAGGTTTTTAATAATTACAGGGTGTCACCTTAGCTGATGTTAACGAAAATGCTGGTATTGAGGCTGAAGAAGAGTTAAATAAAACGTACGGAAAAGATAAAGCCTTTTTTGTTAAAACTGACGTTGTCAACTACAAGGAATTTGAAGGTATGGTTCTTGAATAATTAATTGCCAATATAGCGTCTAGTATTTATGTAGTAACCAGGTACCGAGCAAACCTCGAAAATTTATAATTTATTCTGAGCATTTATTTTTAGTTCGATTTTTGTGAAATTTGCAGGAAATATCAATAATAACAAAAGTTAGGGTGAAGAAACCTTGATTTTTTGTAAACCTTCGAAAAGTATTTATTTCGAAAAATTTTAAAAGGAAATAAAAAAATATTTACCGCCATTCTGTATCAAATCTATAATAATTTGCTACTTTTTGGTTTAATAAATATCTAGTAGTTTTTAAATGGGATGATTCCCCACCTTTTTTATTGTACGCCTGCCTTATCGTTGCACAAATTTAAAGCTCTTAAAATTGTCAAAACACATAATATTATGAAGTATTCCCAGTGGCACGCACATAAACACATTTTATATTAGAAATTATTAATACAAATATATTATTTGAGCATTTCTTTATACGATTTGTTTACTTGCCGTGAGACGAGAGATTCTCGTCTCTCGTCTCGTCTCGTCTTGTCTCGTCTCGAACGAGACGAGAGAACGAGACGAGAGAATGAGACGAGAGAGACATTTTCTCTCGAAAACAGATTCGAGACGAGACGAGATAGTGTCATCTCTCGACGAGAATTTCTCGTTTCTCTCGAGCTCTCTCGGGCTCTTTCGAACAATTTTCGTTTTGCTTATTTGAAATTTTCAATTGCTTATCGTAACTTAAAATTTTAACATATTAGATTTCGAGATAGTCAAAAAGTTAACTATAACACACCTATTCTATATATATTAAATGGTAACAAATGATACTTGTGTTATTAGGATTTTATAAATAATGATTTATAAGAAAAAATATTTCTGATTTCATTTATTTAAAATTTATACAATCATTTCTTATATTTAATCCATTCTGCTTTTCTGAAGTTACTTTTAAGTTGAAACTTTTTGAGCGTTTTTTCGAAAAACTGTCAAAAAAAAGGTAATACAAACGAATGTATTATAAACAATGATGACGAAAATTATACCCTCCTCTATTTTAACTTTTAAATGAAAAAAGATATTGACAAAACAAAAACGAGGTAAAACTCTAGAGATATTATATTTTTGTTATAACGAGATGCACTTTACTTAAGACACGTAAGATAGAGGGAGCTTAAATTTTCTAATGGAAAGTAGGGTCATGTTATACCTCATTTGAAAGATATTGTCTATATTTTTACGTTCATGTAAACAGATTTAGGTTTTTATGTTTTTACAGAAATTACATTAAATAAATTCATAAAGAAGGTTAAATTATTTTTTTATTTACCGCTTCAACCTCAAAGGATCATTACCGGAGGTATAATACCTTATAAATGCTGTTTTTTTACAATAGTATACAATGGATAATTAACATTTTGGCTAGTACAGAGTAAATAACAGTATCTTTTATAAATTTAAGTAATTTGTTACTGTTAGAGGGATTTAACACTGCACAAATGGCAATTTTTTGTAGCTGGTACTTTGTTCTTATATACAGACATATTCTGGGCCTTTACTAATAAGTTACATTCTTGATAACTCTCGTATTAACAATTATTGTTTATTACTAAGGAAACGCTTCTTGTATTTACTAAAATAAATAAATTAATAATGTCAAAGGTGATTTAAAAACAACCTGACGTATTAAATTTTTCACAACTTCTTTGCAAAAAAAGCTTATTAAAAAATTCTCTTCTAACATTATCTAACATTTCTAGGATTATTGCGGCACACGAGGATTATCAAGAATGTAATTTTTGTAAAAACAAAAAAAAAATTAAACTGTTTGCTTGGACGTAAATATAATTAAAATATATTTCAAATGAGGTATTAAATGACTTTACTTTCCATTAGAAAATTTAATGAAAGTAACGCCCTCTATTTTACGTCTCAAGTAAAGTGCATCTCATTATAACAAAAATATCATAATATTTTTCTAACTTCACATCGTGTTTGTTTTATGTCTTTATCTTCTTGCATTTTGAAAACATACTACAAAATGTTTTCATTTGACATCGCAGGATTGCAGTAGAAAAATTCTAACTACCAATTTAACCTCTTCCCCCCTTCCCAACTGACTTACAAGACAAAGTATTTTTGTTTTTAGTTAACGCCTAATCTGGGCCACTTATTACTTAAAATTTTAATTGTAAAATGACTGTGACAGACGGACAGACAGAGAGACATAAGTGTTTCTTATTGCCAAATTTGAATACTAATGCGCAAATTACTTGAAAAATCCTTTGTTTTCGTCTTACAAATGTTACCGTTTTTTCAGGTTTCGTCTTTTTCAAATTTAAATTTGATATTGTTTTTTCACGAGAGAAAGGAGACGAGACGAGACAAGACGAGAGGAAGGCTCTCTCGAGCGAGAGAAGCGATTTCTCATCGAGACGAGAGAACAGTTTTCTCTCGCCCTACTAGACGAGACGAGAGAGGCCACTCTCTCGTCTCGTCTTGTTTCGCGGCATCACTACTTGCAAGACTTCATGTTATCAAAACCACTGGCGTATGCAAAGTCATGAAATGCGAGGCGATTTAATCGTATAGAGTGATTTGAACACATTATTTCTATGGTTAGGGTTTCTTCTGTCTTTTTGTAGGAATTACTACTATAAATAAGTTAACTTTGAAATAACTCTTACTGAGAAGTTGTTACTGATTCATTTGAAAACGGTAAATTTTAATAAGGAATGAAATATTTATCCGGCCTGTTTTGAATTATATATCGCTAGAAACTCGATAATCAATGTTCAGTTGTGCAGCTATTCAGAAAGTACGAAAATAAATTAATCTAATATTTGTAGTTAAAATGTAATAAAATTTTGTTGTGGAGATATCTCAACATTTTGCTCAATATCCCATTTAATTTATTTTACCTCGCACCGTCTCTGAATAAACATTTTATTTTGTGCGTTTTGACTGATAAAGATTTAAAAAAAAAAATGGAATAAAAGGTATCTAACAATTTGTTCGTTAGGAAATTGGACAATTCTGAAATTAGATGTAAATTTAGTTAATTTTCATAAATGTCTAAGTGATAGATTATAGTTATTGGATTTTGTAAATTTTGACAATTCCAATTTTTTAGTAGGTGTAGTAGGGTCGTTTATAAGTTATTTTCTTCAAGATATGGAATATCTGATTTGTTCAATGTTCTCTATAATGTTGTGTGGAAATTAAACTATAAGTTGATTTTTATAAGAGTTTTGTTTATTTAAGCGTTTATTTTTCACAATATAACAAAAGACAGGTACTTATAAAATTTCTTCATCTACGAGAACTTTTGCATAATTCCAATAAATAGATTCTACAAAAGATTAAAATATAATTAAAATATAATTTAAATATAATTAAAATATAATTAAAATATAATTAAAATAATATTAAAATAAAATTTAAATAAAATTAAAACAAAATTGAAATAGAATTCATATAAGATTAAACAAAATAAAAGAGTATTAATATTATAATTTGGAAGCACCCCTGAGATAAAAAAAAAAAAAAAAAAAAAAAAAAAAAATTATACTTTAATTAAAATAAAATTGAAAATGGTAATCAGGTACGATATCATTTCAAAATATATATATATATATATATATATATATATATATATATTATTGCAAATATTGCTTCTTTTTGCGAATAATTTTCACAAAACAAGCGGTGTGAACTTTGAGTCCCCTTTCTAGCAGACAATTTAACATAAATAATCGTCGATCATATATGGTTGCCAAGTTGCCATTCGCATTTATAAATGAGGATTACGAAGGCACATATACGAAGGGTTAAGAATACGGTTTCTAATGCGTCTTCGCATTGAACCACTCGCATCTCTTCAAAGCGAGCGCTTAAACGCACTAGTCGAGGATAGGTGCCCTGGTCTTTATCGCAATACCTACGCAACGTAAATAAGTAGTTTTTAGTATTTACCCCATAAAAACTGCTATTTGCACCACTTCGTACTATATTTCCTTAGTTTATAATGTTTATGCAACATAAATTATGTTTATAATAATATAAATACAAAATAAGCCTTAGAAATAAAGATATCTGCATCTACTCGCCCCTTACTGTTATTATTTTGGGTTGAACAATTTCACTGCTTCACGGCCCAACGCTTTCCTCAAATGCATTCAAACAAATGATATGGATGCGAGTCCGAGCTCTAGTGACAGGTTCGAACAGGAAATTTTTTTCTTTTTATATCACATGCATCTCATAAACACGCATTTAAAAGTAATTGTAATTAAAAAATGTAATTGTAATTGGAAAAAAGTAATTGTAATTGGAAAAGTAATTGTACTTATGACAAGTAATTGTATTTAAACAATTTAAATAATATAAATTATTATAATTACAACATACAATTCCTCCACAGATTTTGCTGCAATTACAATTACAAATTACATATAAAAAAGTAATTGTAATTATTAATTACTTTTTAACTAGGAATTATCCAGCTCTGTCAATGGGTGAGTCCGGCAATCAGATGTATATGTATACCAGACTCTCACAAGTGACTCCTTGTTTTCGTATAAATAAAAGAAATATTTATTTCGAAATAAACAGTAAATATTCTAATTTGTGAGCACAGGTAATTAAATATCAATATTTTTTTATAAAAAGAACAATTCTGCCGAAAAAACACATGAATCGCAATTCTAATCTAATTTCACTTTAATTTATTCTACGATGCAACACTGGCAGACCAACATTACCGCGAAATGCTCAAGAACCAAGACCGATATGCAAGACTCTTGCAAAACTTGGTTCAAATATGTTCACTGTTGACGTCATATTTGACCTTTTCCCTCTATTTGAGAAACTCGACTCTAATAAATACTTCAGATGATTTGCTTTTGTGTAAAATATTTGTTTGTTTTAATTTAGCTGCGTTCAAGGCAACAGTAGAAAAATTTAGTCATATAGATATTCTAATAAACAATGCTGGAATAGGAGCTGATGGAATTTGGCGCAAGGAAGTCGAAGTTAATGTAGTAAGTATTGATTTAAAATTAATTTTTCAAATTCAGGACTAAGATTTGGGATCTTTATCAATAGAGGCATGCTATTCAACGAGATAAAGTACATTTATTTATTTTAAATGTCAATGTTGATTTGGTTTTCTGCAAGATTTCATTTCTGTATAAATAATAACAATGATAACGACTTTCTTATATAGTAGAGGAGACCGTGAGAGGTCGACCTTCACCCATCTGATAACCAGATGAGGCATATTTTTTATAAAATTTTATGTGCTCCGATTTTTAAACTTTAAAGCAAGGCATTAGTATTCCATGAACAGTTTTTTGTAGGCAAGCTATACGATTATTTTTATAATTATATTATCTTTCTTATGATATCAATTTCTATTGGTTGACATATCGGTGTAGTTACCTATATTGACTTACCTGTTCATACCTGCTTGCTAGGTAGTCATGGACAGAAATAAGTAAGCAAGCCTACTAAGAAATATTTTCAATGTTAAAAACTGTCTGTTAAAATTAAATTTTTTCGATTATCAAAAAAGTGAAGGTTATGAAAGAAATAAAATAAAATTTATTTAATAAAAAATAGCAATGAACCCTTTTCGAATTGCAAGTTCCCATAGGCGTGTTAAAAAATTTATAAAATTTCATAAAAAATATGCCTCATCAATGGGTGAAGGTCGAACTCCCACGGTCTCTTAGACTAATAGGTACATAGTTAAATAAGGTCGGGAGTGACGAAATATTTTAAATTTTTATAAAAAACAATATAAAAAACACTTAAAACTTTAACACAGTTGCTGAAAAATGTTAAATAGACAATCCCCTCAAATTCTACTCAAAATCATAGTCTAGTAATTAATTTCTAAGCGTTTTTATAGTTACTTATTTTTAAAACTTGATATTATCGATTTTAGGAAAGTTTACCGCCACCACAAATCACTACCCATAATTCACCGCTTGCATTTTCACAACTATCTACAATTCATCGCTACCACAATTCACCGACAGGGAAAGACTTCATTTTTGCACAATATTTTAAGTCTTCTTTTGGTATGTTTCATTAAAAATAAAAATGTTGCCAGCGCTGGCATTTGTACCGAAAAAAAGAAGTACCTATAGACTTTTGAAATATTATGTTTTGTTGATGAATTGTGGTAGCGGTGAATTGTGAGCGGTGATTTGTGTTGACGGTGAACTTTCCGCGGTGAATTGTTAACGATGAACTTGTTAGACTCAAATGTTATTAAAAACTCGGTTTATTGAGAATTTTCCTCTTAAACGAGATAGAAGATTCCCCATTTAATAATTTTGAGTAACCCCAATCTGATATTATGCTCTCGTTGTATTGCCGTTTTTTACTATATATACAGGGTGTCCCGAAATTAGACGGTCATTTTTAACAGCTTAATTTACATCCTAAAATAGGAGTAACCGTTTATACAAACATAGGTCCGAAAACGTTTTGTTTCCGAGATAAAGGGGTCTATTCTGTAAGAATTCCTTTATATTTAACGGCCTTTAAAAATATTGGCGGACTTTAAAAATATGTTCGTATTCGTTAATTTACTTCTGTCATTATTTAAACAGATTTCTTTAAGATAGTCCTCTAATGTATTTTAAAGATCCGTTTAAATAGTGACCGAATTAAAGAAGAAAATATTTTTAAAGGCCGTTAAATATAAAGGAATTTTTACAGAATAGACCCCAATGGGTGTTAAAAGTGCAGTTCTGATGATACATTTTTGTAAATATTTTCTAAACTTTTAAAGATAACTAAGTACAATTTGGTACAAATGCTAAACTTTTTACGCTCTATTTAATGGACCCAACGACAGTTTTTGATCATTTTCATAGGTGAGTAAATTAGGGGAGGGGCTTAGGGTTAAATTTGTTAAAGTTTTTTTGTTGACTATTTTTAACATTTTTGACTACAAAATTAAGAAAACCATTATTTTCTTTATAATAAAGCTTCTTTTGTTGTATCGCGCTAGGACGCACCATTTTCAAGAGAAAACCATTTGAAAATTTCATAAGTTGATGTTATCTTATTCGAAAGTGTAAACAATATTTAGAAGGACTGTGGAATTAGAAATTTTATTTTTTTTAACTTTGGAAAACCGGTGACTAAAGAAATTTTAAAAAATATTTACAAAAATGTGCCATCAGGACTTCACTTGTAACACCCTGTATCTCGAAGACGAAACTTTTTCGGACCTATGTCTGTACCTCAAAGCAGAAGGGTATTAAGTCACAAATTCAATATTTTACAGGAGAGCGAAAAACGTTTATTTTTATTCGTTTTTCCTGTATAACAGGGCTTGATTTTTCTCATTGCTTTTTGCAAAAATTGTAAGGAAGGAATATAGTATGACACGATCACTTAATGATCCAAAATTTTGTTTAGCTTTTTTTGTTTAATTTTTAATGGACTTAATACATTTATGCACAAAACAAAATAGACAAAAATGTGACTTAATACAAACTGTTTCGTGTTAGTAGGTAGGTACAAATCAAAAGACCCTACTACATTCTGTATAATAAGCGAAAAAAAAATAAGGCAAGTATTTTTAATCGAAAATTATTTATTAAAGAAAAAACACAAACACAGAACTCATCATGTAATTTAGGTAATAGTAAATTTTAAGTACTAGTCATGGTTTAAATTTTTGTCAACATGGGCCAAGTTCTGATAAAAAGGGTGAAATATCTTGGGCACCCACTTTAGTAATTTTTGAAGGTCGTTATATTTTTTTGAACTTATTAGGTTAGGGATTTCTCGAAGTGGAGTCAATGAGTCTTCTATGTTAGGATGCTGCTTTCGTGTTCCTCTTCTGTTGAAATCTATGCTATCAAATTCCTGATCAAAATCACTTTTAAAAAACAGAACACCTGGAGAGTCCTGCCTGACTTGCATCAAAACTTTTGAAATCAAAAATTTTTCGCCCTTCTCTGTTTTCTTGCAATTTTGAAAGGGAGCGTTAGGTATATTGTAGAGCTTGTTAAAGTCCTTAAAATCAGGAGTTGTCATTTCAAATACAACGTAGTCTTTGTTTTTGCCCGAGAGGCGAGCCAACTGCATCCAGTCCCAAGGAGTCATTATTTTATAATTTGGGTATTTTTTAGATTCCCTCTCAATCACGGAGTGGATACTATCCACCTTCATGTGAGCATGACCACGAAGGAGAAACTTGTGCCTAATCTGCTTTATTTGCGGATGTTTCGCTAAAATATAAAAGTAGCAAATAATCATTTGAACGTTCCGATTTTGTGATGGGCAGTTATCTGTCCAAATATTAATCGATGTTATCGTTTTGGAAATAGAGTTTATGTAGCTCATCAGACAGGAAGCCATTTAATTTCCTCCCCTGCCAGCAATGGATTCATCCCAGATTAGGCAATTAGCTTTCTTATTTGAGGAATCGTAGATTGTATAGTTAAAGCACCATAATTTCAAACTATAAAAACTTTGAGCATTTGATAGTTTTGGACATGGTAAACACTTTTGCAGGTCAATCATTAACACAATTTCTTCAGGTTTGTCTAAGGCTAACTGTTTATCTTGTTTTTTTAATTCGTATCTTTTATCAGCTTCATTTAAATGTGAATCATAATCTGTTTGTATTTTTTCTCTCTCAATAGGAGAACCTGCCTGCCTCAGATTGACAACAAACTCATCACATGCATCACAGGTATCGTTTGCAGGAGGAGCGAATGCTAGGTTAAATTCAGTGTTAAAGATTTGGCTATAAATCCATTGTTTAGGAATGTCTTCTGGATGTATGTTCTCCAATTGGCGTTGTTCTCTATACAATTTATACATGGTGGAAATGTTCAAATGACTGCCCAAATACTTTTTTGCGGTGCGCCTTCGACTATAATGTGACTCTTCACATGGAAATGACATGATGTGTTGACGGATCGTATTCTTATCTTCATCCTTAATTTTATTCACTGATGGCTGTTTCCCTCTTTTATCACATTCGACCATGCCACTCGATTGTCGTTTTTGTAGAGCAAACCTGACAAATGTCTGGGAAATATCGAGGGTGTTTAAAAAATATTTTCGGCACCCCTTGATTTTGTTCTCCATCTATAAGGAAATAATATTTTAGAGTATAGAGTCGTTTTCCTTCTCGACTGCCTGTTCGCTGTCTTACTCTTGAAACAGGTGTCTGCAGAATGGATAAACACAAAAATTGTCTCTTTTGATCAATAGAGATATCTTCATTCCAGAATTCTTCATTAACTTTTGTTCTCTGAGCTTCTGATATTTTCTCTGAACACTTTACACGACAATTTATGCATGCTTTTCTTATTTTTCTCTTTTTAATATCAATTTTTGTTTTACTGGATTTGTATATCTGCCCTCCTATCCTCTTCTTTTTAATTATATTTCTTTTCCATTTGTTTTCTTGTCTTAATATCTTTTTTCCCTTTTTGATCTCGTCATTATTAGTTGACTTGTGCTCTTCTTCTATTCGAATTGCCTCTGAATTAGATGAGTGCGCTTCTACGTCAAAGTCATCCTCGTCACTACACGCCTCATTGTCAGGGACGTAGGAACTTCCTGAGTCTTCATACAGGTCATTTTCACTTATATCCCCATTTTCGGAAGGCTCTTTAGAATCATTTCTGGGAGCAGTGGTGGTATGGTTTGAACTTGAATCACAAATCATCTGAATCACAGGCTGAATCATTTGGAGTAAAATAAGTAAAACTACAGCCTGGTAAATTAAACTTAGAGTGGTCAACAAAATTGTACGAAATATCCAACAGCTGCACATTAGAAGTTGCCAACATATCAATAATCGTATTCTGGTTCTCTATTATTTGGGGGGAGCCGCCAATTTGATTTACTATAAAAAAACAACAGATAATAATCACACATTTTATACTCGTACTTTAATTTTTACTTTTACCTTCGCGTGGAAAATTTTCTATAGACATTATTTCTTGCCTTTCTTCTGTCCTGCCATATTCAACTACTGAGTCGCACTTATTTTCAAGAGTAGCCTTCTTAACATCTGAATCCTGGGTATTTTCCTGAATTTTATAAGCTGTATTAAATACATTCGAATTATTAAATCAAAAAAATAAAAATCAAACAAACATTTATCTGTTTTTCTACTACCGTGCGTGAAGTACTAACTTTACGGCATGCTAAACAGTGCGTAAAGTTCTATTTTTTCGCAATTGTGCGTAAATGTATGTCAATATTGTTAATTTATTGTTTTTTTTAACGTCATCAAATTAAATTACTTTAAGCACTATTGCGTAAAGTGAATAGCTGAAATGTTAATTTTTCACCTAATTTTTGTGGTAGTAGAAAAAATGTTGCATGTAACACGTATGTAAAGATCTTATTTTACTCATGGGCTCGTGCAAAATAATCTCCATTCGTAAAAAAATGTTACTTTACACACTTGCTGCATAAATAACTATTTTGTAAGCGGTGCAATACTATCTTGATTGGGTACATTTAAATAAAATTTATTATTAAGTTTACATCCTACCTTCCATCAAATTAATTGCTTACCTGGATCTGAAATCTCTACAGGTGAGGTTGGGAGAGTTTTGTTCCTTTCCCTTTCAATACATTCCTGAACCATTCTTCTATTTCTCGCACTCATTTTTTTAAACACTGTTAGTTTTTGACTCACAGTTTTTTATTTTTAAACAAGAGCTCGACAAAAAGATCAATAAGTAAACGTAAACAAAACAAAACTAACGATAATGCAGGATTCAACTTGAGAACATCGGCCTGCATTGCAAAAGAATGGGTGGGAGTGGACTTAATACTTGTAGCTTTAATGTAGCATGTGGACATAATACCATTTCAGCGACTTTATACTGTTTTGCTCTGTAAACTGTATGTGATGTTGTGGACTTGAAACATGTGAAAGTAGTTAATACTCTTCTGCTCTCATTACTATGTGGACTTAATACCATTTTTAAAATGCTATTTCAGAAGCCTTTAGTCCAAGGGCTCTGAACTTTTGCCAGCTGATTAAGCGCGAAATGTTAAGTAATTTAAATCAAAAAAGCGGAAAATCAAAATTTTGGACTTAATACCCTTCTGCTCTGAGGTACAGATGTTTAAATGAACTTTTACTTTTATTTTAAGATGTATATTACGCTGTTAAAATATGACCGTCTAATTTCGGGACACCCTGTATATATAGTAGTGATTTCTTCTTATTGTAATCGCACCGTAATGTCATCTATTGAAAATAAGCCGAATTACGATTTTCTGGATGATGACAAAATATCAGGCAATATCAGTAGCAATAATTGGCACACCTACCTTAAAATAAAATAAAAATCTATTTAAAAAAAGATGGCACGTTCATCTAGTCCAAGAGTACAACAAAATTGTTTTTATTAAAGTTTATTATTCTGGTATCATCTTTATTTTATGATTTTTTTAAATTGTCACCTTGTATACTTAATACTAATAGGAGGATAAAAAAATACATTCTTCTTTTAGGTCGGTACCATCAATGGAATGATATTGGGCATGGATAATTATTTAAATAAATACAAGATTTCTGATGAAGGTGTTATTATAAATACTTCATCTACATGTGGTTTAGAAGGTTATGCCCAGTGGCCTGTTTACAGTGCAACAAAATTTGCAATAACAGGTAGGTGCCTATGCATTTACTAAATAATAGGCAAAGTTCTTTGTAGTCAGAAAACGGGTTGACAATTTTTGTTATTATTTAGTTGATATTTAAGTACCTGCTTCTCTCATTGAAACTCTACTTGACTTCTTATGCAGATATTATTTACCCAGGCATTTTCAAATGTTCTTATTACTAATCACCACCCACTACAGATTTTGGATGTTGGTGTTGCTACGTTTATCTCTCTCTTCACTTACCATTTTTTTTATGAAACTCGATTGTTTTTCTTAGATTTAGTAAAAATTCATTTTAATATCCTTGTTCTTGAGATTTTTAGTCTAACTTCCTGTCTTTATTATTCAACGGCAAAAGAAACTTTAAATATCTTGGTAATATTCTAGGTATGGTTCAAGCATGGGGTTCTCCAGCTCATTATGAAAGAACGAGAGTTAGAGTTCTTGAAATATGTCCTAGTGCGACAGAAACAGATATGCTAGGAGTAGGACAGAAATTTTTAAGTCCTGAATACGAAAAAACTATGAAATATATTGCACATGAAATTGGAAATCTACAAACGTGAGTATTTTAATTATGATGATTGTCGCAGATTTTTTAACCAGTTAATGTATTGGAGATTACGTCGTCAGTAAAAAAATTAAGAAGAGAGATACATACCATTGGCCATGCTTTATGTTTACTTATTTTGTATGTTATTGATGATGAACAAGCCATAATCGCTAAAGTTGTCTATTCTAGAGGTAGACTATAATATTAAACATGTGTCAACATCTAATAACTCAACTTACTTTACTAGAAGTAAACATGCAATAATTTTTTCAAACTTAAATAATTATCCCTGTTACGTCTTTTATTTATATTACCACAAACGAAATTCTAGATTCTTAACTTACATCGTCTTCAGTCTTTACAACATTTCTTATCTCTCTTGTATAATTAGTTAATTGGTAAACTCTAATACAGTTTACCTCTGAGGTACAACTATATATATAGCTGAACTTAGTGAACTCCTAATCATTCCCTGGCTAATTAACCAGATGTACAGAATAATCTACTTCACCTAATTTTGGTATTGCCCAAGGCACCTATCTATTTTCAACTTTTTTAATACCAATAAAAGCAGCTGTCGTTTATTTTATTATTTTATTTCTAGCCTCGTCGTTCGCCTACTTACGTGTATATTTAAATTAATCGTTCTGTTCAACTCAAGTCGCTAATCGCATTGCTTTGTTACAACATTCTTATACCTCCAGATGAGTAATACGTAGAATACATAGCAAGACTGACGTCCCTGTAACATAGGGGTAGTCATTTTGATATGGTAATTCAAAACATCCTCTTACAAAGCTCTGGGATTTTGTATACCCTTCGCGGTTTCTACCCCATCAGGTTAATATTCTTGATGTATTCAAAAGAATATGTCTGATTGGCTGCTCTTAATGCTCTTTGCATCACTCTTGTTCTGAAAGAGAGTTATTTCCTTGTTTCCTCTCGGTTCCTCCAGCTCCTATTTTTTTTGTGAGGCCATATGTATGGTGATTTTACCTAACCGAAAATGAGTGTATTCATTATCGTTGATCTTTTTCGTCTTGTCAAAATCTGACCTCTGTCCTCGTCTTGGTTATTTACGATCTTTTATTTCTAGGGAGGAAGAATGCGTCTGTAAGTTCTTTAGAGTTGTTATGTTCCGCGTATACTTTCAACTCAACCCACTTCTAATTGCTCAGGTGTGGAATTTTTTCCCTGTGCCTTCCTGCTGACTTTGGAGTTTTACAGTCGATTATAGGATTTTCCTGGCCTGAGTTAATACCTCCTAATTAAAGTTAATACTACCTATCTGGATAACATCTCTTCTAGGCTTTCTCCAATAGGATTTGCTCGTCCGCACTGAGGATTAGGTACAATCGCGATTTGGTTTTTTTTCGATCTTTGCATTAGTATAGTGTGGCTTCTTTTCCGTTTTCTTTTCCGTTAGGACTTTTATTAGGACGTGTTCTTAACCGCTTTCTTTTACGTTTATTCTGGAGTCAACCCCTGATTAAGTTACCACATGAACCTGTACCAAATATCTGTCTCAGTGGGTTATCCCTGCCACCAAGTACTGAGGTACTGTAGGTAGCTTCCTTTTTGCTTTTTTTACGGGGCGCTTCTTTCACCGATGGTTTGTGAAAGGATGAAAATTACTTAATAGTTGAGCTGCTCTAATATACTACCTTCACATCTTTCTTCTGTTCCCCCGTTTCTCTCTGTTGAGGTTGTCTCACTCATGAGGTTGAGAAGCTTTGGATTGCAAGCATATTCTATTAATTGAGGGTACCTATGTATTTATTACATGCATAGAAACTGTTCTAAATCTATTTTTCGTATCATTTTATTTAACCCGAATGATTATCTGCATTAATAAATTAATTAATTAATTAAGGAAAGTGAGTAGCTTTTTTATCGGTGAGCAAATGTTAAAAAAGTTGTAATTATATGTTAAAAGTAGGCCACGATAATAATTATCCGTGATAATTACTCACGGTTTATAACAAAATCCAAACTCACTTAAAAGAAGAAGAATTGTAAACTCCGACATTCTTAATTTTTCCCAATGCCTACTTATTTCCTTTTTAATTTTTAGATCAGAACACGTTGCTGCTGAAATGATTAAAGTATTACAAAATGCAAACAATGGTACGATATGGGTAATAGAAAATGGAGAACCCTCCTATGAATATGTGTTACCTAAACGACAAACTTTTAAAAATAAAAATTAGATTTTACTTAGCGATTTTGTAAAATTTATTTACCTATTCATTTTTTTGATATGACATCAAACCATAGGTCACTCACTGTTCTAATTAAAAGTGCAGTTCATAAAATGGCGGTGGAAAACAGTTACAAGGCATCCACAGAACACGAGGCTAATAACCTTAGTAATTGATGCCAATGACATCGAGTAAAATAATGTTGTGTGAACGCCTGAGCCGACTCTGTTCTTTGATCTTTAGCGCAACGTTGTGTCTGGCACCTGGCTCATGATCGAAACATTTCCGGAATTATCTATGTATGCAGCTGACGCGTAGAGGAAGCGTTTCAAGAACGCTTCGAGATTTTCTAGACGGTCCAGAATGTACTGGTGCAGAGCCGGCTTTGTACAAATAGCCTAAATTTGTCGATAGACGTTGTTTCAATTTAAGTACTGTATAGAGAAGACAAATTGTAATACATAAATTAGAATTGTGAGTTATTATAGTGCCTAAGTTTTAAATAAATTAATTAGTACATTATAAATAAATTATAAATAAACTGTTTTTAATAAATAAACTATTTTTAAATTAAACAATTGTTACATTGGTGTTAGAAGTGGAACTGTAAATAAATAGTGGACAAAAATGGCTAAAAAACTGTGTGATTTAATAATGACGAAGTTACGTCGGGAATTAGAGGATCGTGAGCTGAAGACAACAGGGAAGAAAGCAGAGCTTAAAGAAGCAACAAAAAGTGAAGATTTGAATCCGTATCTATTTTCGGATGATACTTCTATAATTTCTTCAATTTCTTTCGATGTGAACACCAAAATATCTTCTATGAAAACTGAAATTACTGCTGATGTTTCTTCGATAAAAAATGATATTACTTCCTTAGAAATAAAAGTTTTATGTGACATTTCTTCCTTAGAAGAAAAGGTGTTTTCTGACCAAAATTTCTTCCGATTTGCAAAACAAAATCTCTTCTTTAAAAGATGAAATTTCTTCTGATATGTTTTCACTAAAAAATGAAGTCTGCTGATGGAGAAAACAAGATGTCTTCTGTACAGGCAACAATAAAAGAGATGGAAAAGAAGATAGAAGAACTGGAACATTCAGAACCGGCCAAGGTTGGTGAAATAAAGTGCCATGAGGAGGAATCGAAGTTGATTTTGGAAGGAACTGGTAAACTCTGCTCGTGTTAAAGCCCCAACTTTCGAAGGGAAGATGTCATGGACCAACTACCTTAAACAGTTCGAAACAGCAGCGAGAGCGAACGAATTGTCTGAAAGAGAGAAGGCAGTAAATATGACCATCGCCCTTTGAGGAGATGCTTTAGATGTTCTTCAGACTATACCTGTGGAAGAGACCGATGACTTTGCACAATTTAAAAAGAGACTTAACATGCGATATGGCCATAAACATTTGGAGCATCTATACTAATCACAGTTAAAGAATCGCAAACAGAAACGAGACGAGACCCTTCAAGAATATGAAGTAGATATTGCCAGGTTGGTGCGATTTGCCTACCCATCAGCTCCGGAAAACATGATGGAATATTTGGCAGTCCAAACATTTGTTGATGGACTGACTACGTGACCATGGGATGTAGAAAACACTCCGCTAATCTGCGACATTTGAAAGACTTATGGAAAACGTATTGAGAGGGTTATCCTGGAAAACATACCTAGTGTATTTAGACAACATCATATCTTGGGGAAGACCTTTGATGAATATTTAAAGAACTTAGATGTTTTTAAAGAACTCCAAGCTGCCCAATTGATGCTAAACCCCAAAAAATGCCAGCTTTTTCAAAATAAAGTTAATTACCGGAGACAAATACTCAGCAAGGATGGCGTGGCTGTAGATGAGGAAAAAGTCGCTTCCATCAAACAATGACCACAACCAACTGATAAACATTAAATAAGAAGTTTTTTTTGACTTTGTACGTACTACCGAAGGTTTATAGTTCGCAGATATTGCTAAGCCATTAACACGAATCACAGAAGAAGTGAGAGAATTCTGCTGGGACGATGACTACCAAACTGCCTTTGAAACATTTAACTACTGAGCCAATACTAGGACACCCACTACCAGAAGGAGAATTTATTCTGGATACCGATGCCAATAATGTGGGAATTGGAGGAGTGCTTTCACAGATTCAAGGGAGGAAAGAAAGAGTACTGTGTTATTGTAGTAAAGTGCTCACGAAAAGAGAACTCCTGGCAGTTCTGAAATGCATGGTACACTTCTACCAATACCTATATGGAAGAAAATTCTTAATCTGTACCGATCATGCAGTGGGTGATTTAGTTCAAAAACCCGGAGGGTCAAATCACCAGATAGATTGAACGACTTCCAGAGTACAACTTTAAGATCGAACATAGATCCGGAATAAGCCACAGAAATGTTGATTCTCTTTCTAGAAGACCGCGACCAGCAGAGTATGCTCTCACTGCAACAGAGCAGAATTAAAGAAAGTGGACTACTAAGAACAACTGTAGTCAACGACGAGTGGGCTCCTGCCAAACTTAGGGAAGAACAAGAGAACGATCCCATTATAAAAAAAGATGCGACAATGGAAAGGAAAATCTGTGACCTACTTGGCAAGAAGTATCAAAACTCTTTCCAGTAGTCAAGTCATATTGGGCTCAGTGGGACTCTTTTATTCTAGAAGAAGACTTATTAAAACGAGTACTAGAGAATGATGATGGTTCCGAAAACAGAAGAAGACAGTTGGTCGTTCCAAAGACTAAAAGTAGTCGAATTACTTCGCCAGTTACAAGACAGTCCATCACGTGGACATATCGGTGTTAAGAAAACCCTTCAGAGAGTTCATGAAAGGTTTTATTAGATGAATTGTTCCGATGATGTAAAGGACTGGTGTAAAAAATGTACCACCTGTGTTATGAGTAACGGACCCCAACGAAAAAGGAAGGCCCCCATAAAGCACTACAACGTTGGTAGCCCATTTGAGAGGATTGCCTTAGATATTGCTGGGCCATTCCCCATGACCGAAAATGGTAATAAAAACATGATGGTGGTTGTTTTATTTCACGAGGTGGGTGGAAGTCTACGCTATTCCAAATCAAGAGGCCGCAACTGTTGCAGACGTGTTGATAAAAGAATGCGTCAGTAAATTTGGAGATCCAGAGTGACCAAGGCAAATATTTTGAAAGCCAGATTTTCCGAGGAATCTGTGACAGACTAGGCATGAAAAAACCAGAACTACGGCATTGCACCCACAGTCAGATGGAATGGTAGGGCGAATGAATAAGACCATTGGAAAATACCTGTCAAAAGTAGTTTTCAACCATCAGTGAGATTGGGATGAGTATCTTTCACTCTTCGCAATGGCATATAGATCCGCTGTCAATGAATATACAGACCAAACACAAGCAAAGGTGCTGTTTGGGCGTGAGATAAGACTACCGTGAGACCTCGAGTTTGGATGCCGATCTGGACACGACATAGCCGGTGAAGACTATGTGATCCAGCTACGAAGAAAAATGGACGACATGCATGAATTAGTTCGCTCGCATTTTCAAGTCGCCAGCGACAAAATGAAGAAGCGATAGGATACCCAAGCTAGAGAAGGATGTTTCAAGGAAGGCGACAAAGTCTGACTCCATAACCCAAAAAGACAAAAGGGTTATTTTCCGAAGCTTCAAACGTCTTGGGAAGGTCCGTACCTAATTTAGAATAAAATAAAATAAATAAATGATGACCGTATAAGTAAGATCCCGAACGGTAAACCGAAGGTAGTTAACCAAAACCGACTGGCGCAATTTGAGGGTGATCATGAAGACGGATAAGGAGTAAACCAGCTCCCAGAATTACCTGATCTGTCTTTGAAGAATTTATGGGTGCATATGGAGGTACCGGCAAAGCAAGATATGGCGGTCTGGCATCTGTGTTTTGGAAGAAGTTTGGTCGATTGCCAGAACTTTAAGATCAGTTACCAGCCCTGTAAAAGCATTGAAACTTCAAGATGGATCGCGTTACCTTTTCTACTTTGGAAAGTGATCGTAGAAAAAATATATTTTTCCAATACTGACATATAAACTGACATTTTTTGTAATCGCAACAAGTGTCGAAATGATATACTTTACGCAATCAGTTGCATAATGTTGAACATTATGAAACTGGATTCGAAAAATTCATTATGTCTCCAGTTGCAAGAAGAAAACAAACAAAAATAAACATTTTGTATTTTTTTATATCAAAGAAGGTCAGATTGCTTTATAAAAATAGAATTTTCCAATCTGAATGAGTACAAAATAATTAAAACTTAATACACAACAAAATAACACACTTTTTTGAAAACTGAATAACTTTAATAAGCCACATAAATCAATTCGTTGTTAATAAATAAATTAATATTATGTTCTGACTGCTGCGTTTGAGAATCCACATCGGATGCATTTTTTACATCTCGAGCGTTTTTTTATCCACATCGGACACATCTGTCCCATTACATTTACGTATACTGAACCACGTGATCAAAGATTTTTTACATCTCAGATGCATCCGATGTGGATTCTCAAACGCAGCATTTTTGTCAATAAAATTATGCATATGCAACTAACAATACAAAAAAGTAGTAATATTGGTTGCGTAGATATCAGTAATGTTTTACCAAATCAAAATTTTAGTCAAAATTAGAAAAAATATTGTATGTAACACGTTACGAAATGTCGTTTTATGTAACTCGTTCATGTTGGTGGGACCTTGTTCTGCTCGTCTCGCAAACATTCACTCGTTACATAAAAAGTTATTACGTTCGTCCCACTTGGTGTAGGAATGAACTACACTACCGGACACGAAACCTTTTTTGGCCCGTTGTAACACCCACTACACCTTCCTGTTGGCGATGTGGTGTCCATTGGTGGATATTTTCTCCACCAGCTATTTAGCAGAAGCGAATTACACTCGATATGTGTATAAAGAATAAGGAGGAAGTAAACTAGGTAAATAAGGTGGTGTAATTGACAGTGCGTGAAGACTGCACCAACAGCGAACTAAAGAACCATATATTAGGCATTTCGTAACTGGTTTTATAAATAGCTATTATCATGCTCCTAAAGATAAATTCTAGAATTTAACAACTTTTATTTTTTAATTAAAGTCGATAAAAATAATCGTGGTTCTGCGGTGACGTCACAAATCATTTGGCAATAGCGTATACTTCACAAACAGATTTGAGAAACCAAGCTGTCCCACTGAGAGTGCGGATCCTTGACACAACACAACCTCACTCTTTTTTCACTCACTCAGTCACGAGTCACGTGTCAAATGATATTTGACTCTCTGACAAGAGATCATATTTTTATTTATTAATTAAATAATAAGTTATAAGTCCATCTGATCGCGGCTAGTGAGGCTCGAGCAGTGGAATCTGGAGATTTTTATAAGAATAAAAATTTAGTTTTTATCCACCAACCATGGCGTCCTGTTTGAGAGTCTTAGGACAAGTAAGTTAATTTATTTCCATTAATTATTTAATGTCATGATAGTTTTGAAATCTATTCATGAAATATAATCATGTGCTTTTTTTAACTTTGATTTATAATGAATAACATTCACTTTTATTTTGAATTCAAATCTATAAAACTTCTTTAGTGTGACGTCGATTTTCAAAAATTTGATTATGTAATTTTTGAGAGATTTCTTCTAATAAAAAGAATTATTTTTATTTTAGGGAAGCACATCCAGAAGCCTGTTATTCAACGAAATCCAGTCAAGATGTTTTCATGTATCACCTTTAGCTGCTGCAGCCGCAAAGGTTGCTATGAGCAAGTTCGATCCAGATCCTTTACCCTATGATAAATTAGCTAAGACCCTTGAAATTGTGAAAAAAAGGCTTAACAGACCCTTAACCCTTTCTGAAAAAGTGTTATATTCCCACATTGATAAACCAGAAACACAGGTACGATTGATTTAATTTAAAAAATTTAAATTTAAAATGTTAAGGAAGCAGTCTTTGGACCTTGAATTTAAGGTTCAAACTCTGAATTTGTTTTGTTGTTATTTAAAGAAATATAGTTTGAAAACATTCTCAATTATAAATAAAAATAATTGATAAGAAAACTCATTTAAATTCCTCGTTCTGATAATTACATAACATATTTTTGGGGTTATGTGTTGTCTTTTTTGACTTTGATGTATAAATAGTTATTTATACAAGTGTATAAAGTAACGTAGGGTAATCTTGTAGTTTAGGCAGGTAGTAATTCCCATCTCTACACCACTCCGGCTGTGTTTAGAATTTAACTTTTTTATGTACACCTACCTTGTTGCCAGAATTCCATTCATGTTTTGCTGTTTGTTTTTATCTTTTAATTTTAAGGGCAAGGAAAATCTGTCACAAAAAAATACATCAAAATAATCTAAAATTAAAGAATATTTTATTCCTTTCTAAAAATTTTCCTTGTCCTCAAAATTTATATATTTGACAGCATATCTGATGACACAAATTTACTTTATCCTAGATTTAGAAAAATAGTACATAACCCTGGCAACTATGTACCAATTCTAATTGTCAGAATGAGTCAGAGCAGCAATGGTGGGGACATGCCCATTATTACCTGCTTATACTACAAGATTACCCTATTTGTTCTACAATCAAGTAAACCAAAATTAAGACACTCAACACTTTATTAATACTAACCTCCAGAAATATATATGTATATATTTTTTTTCATATCCTGCTATTTCCATAGCAGTAACGTTTCTGAACCCTTTAGTGTTCCAACCCTAGCTGGGGTTATTTAAGGAACCCAACATCTATAGACTTGTTCACTTTTTTTCATTATTCAACAATTACATATTTTATACACACAAATTGATATAAAAATGTTACATTTTAAATGATTGTAGAAAAATATTGTTTTTGCCTTTAGAATTTTAAAAATTAAAATAAATACTATTATTAACTGGGATTTGGATCTCTATGTTACGAAAATATTAAAAAAATGAGCTCGCAAACCATTTTTAATAGCAATAGCTGCTAAGTGGGTGGCACAAAATTGGAAATTTGATCGAAAATACATTTTAGCGAATGGTATTTGATCGAATAACATTTGATTGAAGATATATTTTATTACAAAGACAATAGATCGAAATTCATTAAGATCGAAAGGACAATATATCAAAAATCAACATTAAAAATAGTAAAATATCAAACGATACCATGCAACCGTCCGTCTAATCCCTACTACTGGAGAAACTAAACTCAGCGGCTATCAAAATTAGGTAGTAGTGGCAAATTTTTTGATAACCTCAAACTATAGCTATTTCCTTTAACAAATTTTTATCCTTACAATACTGTTAATTTAAATCTGATGTGTCCAACATATGACTTTCCTATCTAGTTATTACAGGCTTTTTTCAGTTATTTTGTACAACCTATTGTAGCACCTTTGTACATATTTAAAGGTTAACTTAATATATACATTTTCCACATACATCTAACTCGAAACATTTTTCTATAGATATTCATTGAAAACGAAAATGATAAAAAATTTAAATTTTATCCTTTTCCTCCAATTTTTCCATTACGGTCCATTTTAGAGAAATCGTGTAAAAAACAAAAATTACAGAGATCGATGTAGCAAACATGTTTTAGATTAACAATTTTCTTAAAAATCAGAATTTGTACATTTTGAAATATTTTCTATGGAACAAAAATGATAGAGAATAATATTAGAAGTAACGTTTATTTAAAGAATTTTCTTCTCGAAAACGTAAATAACAGATATATTTCATAAAATATAAAAACGACCCTCTATAAAGTACCCCCCAGATGTTCTGACTCTGCCCAAAAATTCAATTAGTCACCTCAGGCCGGAATAAAGCTTAAGTTTAAAATTTAATGTGTTTTTCTTTATCCGTTTCTGAGTTTTCTTTAAAATTCGAGATTTACACATTTTCTCAAATTATCTCGAATACGGTCAATTTTAGAGAAATTATGTATGTATAGAAAAGTATATGGGTCCTTTTCAATAACTTTTTAATTTGGGTGATCTTAACGATTACACCCTCATCTCTCAAGATATTTAGCAAAATGTTTGTAAAGATTTATAGTTTGGTACCTGGCCGACTATGACAAAAACAAAAATTCACAAATAGTTTGTCTTATATATTTTTTTGTTTTTTAAACATGCAATTTCATACCTCCGTCACGCGTCACGATTGCTATTTTCTATGTTTGTACCTTTGTCATTTAATGTTTGTTGCTATTTTTCATAATCTTCCATATTTTATGTCAATATAATGATAAAATGCAACAAAAAATCGACTATACATGTTACTAAATCTTGAATATTGGTTGTCATGCTGCGTGTACCCGATCTCCGTCACACCAACTTTAAGTTGAAAAAGTGACCATCAGGTGGCGGTATCTGCGAATAAAATAAGTCTGATTTTGTTGCTGGGTCTCAGTGCATTCATGTCAAGCAGTAAATGTGAAGGTAGTAGTATTTTATTGTACGATTCTTCAATAAAACAGGTAAAATTTTGGCAGGTTTTTTTTTCTCTTCGGATTTCCGTCCCATAGGATATTTATTCTAAAACAGCAAATAGCGTTTTTATTTAAATATCTTTAAAAAGTATACCCTTGCCAATGTTTACATTTCTAACCTTATTGATTAATATAGCAAGTGCAAGAATTCAGAAGATCTATATTAAGTGAATCATATTACCGTCACGTCGGATATCCGTCACGCTGACATTAAAACGTGACGGAGATATGACGAATGGGACGGAAATATTAAGTTATTTAAACGGTTTCATTTCAAAAAATTAGAATGATATTGTCATATTTATTGTTTATCTGCTCAAAATGAATTTCAAACCGTGATCGAAAGTAAAACAAATTTTCTTTCATTTAATATGGAGGAAAACTCTTCGGTATGCGTTTCCCTGAAAATTAGTTCAGATGATGTAACGCTAACAATTAGCCCAAAGAATGATAATGAAAGCGACAAAATAGCTTTAATAAAGAAAATGTTAAAAGACATGAAGGAGAGTGCATTAGAACAAGTAAAAGATAAAAAGTTGAACAAAATACCTTTAAAATTAAGTTAGGTACGTGGCGTCACTAACAAAGCAATATCCAAGTTAAAATCAGATAACTTAGTGAAAGCCAAATTAAAAGATTTTGAAGAAATATTGCCATCGACATCTAAAACCTAAGGATCTAATGTTGAAATTTTTAAAAAATAGTGTATTTTCTTGCGTCACTCTTTCATATTTCCGTCACCTCATGTTTTAGTGAAATTGTAATTCTACTAAGGCACTTGGAGTTAAAATTTTTCAATTTCTATAAGCTACTTTAGATATTTTTACTAAAAAAGAAAAATTCCATTTTTTTATCTTTTTTTTTAATAAATTTGCAATTTTTTCTCGCTACATTTATTTAGATTGTAGAAGCACATTTTGTTGATGTATTTTTAAAAGATGATGGTACTTTAGGAAAACATTACAACAATAATAATTTAAACGTTATCTAATTTTTTTTGTAGTCTTATATATGTGACGGAAATCTTAAAATATAAGACAAATTTCTACAGAAAAAAACAGTATATGAATATTTTCAATAACCAAGGCTCAAACCAAGTATTTCAAGCATGTAACAATATAAAAAGGATGATATTAAACTGATAACTTAAGGTGAGATTTTCAAAATCACTTATAATGCAAATTAAAAAATTATTGAAAAGGACCCATATCACAAACAACTTTTATTTAAACATTTTTCATAATAATTTGATTTTTTACATTTTGTCAAATTTCTCGAATACGGACCATTTTAGGAAAATTTTGTATAGAACAAAAATTATAGATAATAAAATTATAAGTAACTTTTATTTGAAGAATTTTCTGCTCCAAACGTAAATAACAGATATATTCCATAAAATATAAAAATGACCACCTATAAAGTACCCCCCAGATGTATCGACTCTGTCCAAAATCTAATCAGTTCATTGCAGGGCGAAATAAAGCTGAAGTTTAAAATTTGGCGTTTTTCTTTGTATCCGTTTATGAGGTATAGAGGTTACACACGCACAGACATCATCGCGAAAATAGTCAAAACGGATTCAGGTGACCCCAAAACGTAAAAATCCGTCGAAAATCCGATGTCGAAAAAATCATTATTCCTATACTTTCCTTATCTGTATACAGATAGGAAAGTAAAAATTAATATTTTAAGGTTAAACGGTTATTTATCTTCATTGAAATTAAGGAACTGTGATTAATTCGCACAAAATATGTATTTTAGTAAGGTTGAATTGTCTCCCGATGGGACATTTTAGATAAATTATTTGTTTTTTTTTTATATAAAAAATTAATTTACCTAACCTGCACGATCTAGAACCGTCTCGGTTTGCCTCGCAAAAAAAATAGAAAAATGAAAAAAAATAATTTACCTAACCTGTGCGGCCTAGAGCAATTTAATTTTAACTGATTGCTCTCGCACAAGTTAGGTAATTTGTTTTTTTTTATATATAAAAAACTTAACTAACTTACCTCACCTGTGCGGTCTGGAACCATCGCCATTTGCCTCGCAAAAAAAATATAAAAAAAAAATGAGAAAAATAAAAACTTAACTAATTTACCTAACCCGCGATATTTAAATTTAACTGATTGCTCACGCATAAGTAGGTAAGTTAGTTAAGTTTTTTTTATTATAAAAAATTTAATTAATTTACCTAACATATGCGGCCTGGAGCCGTCGCGGTTTGCCTTGCAAAAAAATGATAAAGAAAAGAAAAATGAAAACAAAAATTTTAACTAATTTACCTAACCTGTGCGGCCTGGAGCCCTCGAGGGTTGCTTCGCAAAAAAAAATACAAAAAAGGGAAAAATAAAAAACTTAACTAATTTACCTAACCTGTGAGGCCTGGAGCAATTTAACTTATTGCTCTGACACAGGTTAGGCAATTAAGTTTTCTTTTATAAAAAATTAACCAACTTACCTAACCTGTGGAGTCTTCGCGGTTTGCCTCGCAAAAAAAATATACAAAAATAATAAAAATAAAAAACTTAACTAATTTACCTAACCTGTGCTATTTAAATTTAACTGATTGCTCTCGCAAGTTAGGCACGTTAGTTAAGTTTTTTTTATTTTTTCTTTTTTTGTATATTTGTTTTTGTGAAGCAACCAGCGATGATTCTAGGCCGCACAGGTTAGGTAAATTAGTTAAAATTTTTGTTTTAATTTTTCTATAATTTTATGTATATTTAGTTTTTCGATCAATTGATTTTTCTATCAAATTTATTTTCGATCAATTTTCTTTTCGATCATTTTTCTTTTTGATCAATTGTTATTCAATAAAATGTTTTTTCGATCAAATGCATTCGATCAAATGTTTTCGATCCATTTTGTACCACCCTTGCTAAGTTACCAACATTTGCATATTTTTTTAAATTCAATAAATTACATAACTACCATAAATAATACAACAGAATAATAATCAACCTCTATTTACAATATTAATGAGTTCGTTGTTTGTCAATTACTTACTGTTTTTAAAATTTTAATATTTGGTACATAATAAAAATGAATATCACTAGAAAGAACCTGAACTAGCCCTATGTTTCTTTTCTGTATTGTTCTCTATTCTGTGCCTGAAGGAACATGAATATTTTTTTTATACAGTAAATTGTAATGTGGGTAGTTCATTCAGGCAGTGGTTATTGCAAGCAGATGTCATATTATGTATCGGTTATCCAAATAAAAAAAGGTACATATCTAAGGAACCATTTACACAGAATCTCACAAAGAATTCTTTGAGATATAAAGGACCTGTTTTTTTTTCTTTTTCCACCTTCAAATAATTATTGTTAAAAGTTAAATTTATTTAATACTTGGAACTTAAACAAGTGGTTTTAAATTATTGTTGGTTTTAAGGCAGCTAATCGTTCTTCCGATAAAAAAATTATTTTCATCTGCTTCCTCCTGCATGAATTTAAAAACAATGTATAATTTCACGAGTTTTTCTCTTTAGAACGCGATTTTTTTACAGCATTTAATTTGATAACATCTCAAAATGCACAACTTTGGTCTTAATGTATTAAGGTCCAAATGATCGTCTTGAAAAACTCTTCTATTCACTGCGCATATTACCTTGGCAGCTTTAGCTATATCTGTCATACTATACCTGCATTTTCTACAAGTAATTTCTCCAAATTCCGCCTTAGTATATATAAATTGGGATATTTTTAATACACTCTATCAGAACGAAATTATTGGTCTAACTTGAAGGTTATGTCGCTAGTGAGTTTATTTAGAAACACCTTTGATATGGCGTCCTAACTAGACTGTATTGGGAAAAATACATAATTGTCTAAAAATGTAATATATTTAGTTTAACAGCTAAATCTCTTAAGTGCAGGAGGGAAAAAAATATATACATATCGTCGGTCTAAAGCACACATATTGTAACTCCAAATTTAATGTTATAACGATCTTGGTACCAATTAAATCGCATTTTAGTCTTCTTTATTGGGCACAAACATTGTAGCTCCAATATGGCTCCAACACCCACCAAACTACAATAAATTCAAATTAAAACTGAGAATTAAGTCACTTAATTTAGTTTAAATTTGCGATTGTCCAAAAATGCGTTTTTGGATATACAATAAGTGTGCTTTAGACCGACGATATATTCTAGGGTCTTGACCAGTCTCAGAAATTTTTTTCACTGATCTTTCTTGTACTCGAAACACATTCTCTAATAAATGTTACTTACATCTCTTAAAATATAAAAATCTTTTTATTTTATTGTTTTTCGTTTTCTTTAAATTTCAAGGAAATAGAAAGAGGAAAATCTTATTTGAGGTTACGTCCCGATAGGGTAGCTATGCAAGATGCTACTGCTCAAATGGCTATGTTGCAATTCATTTCTAGTGGTTTAAAAAAGGTAGCTGTTCCAAGTACGATTCATTGTGATCATCTTATTGAAGCTCAAATTGGCGGGGAAAAGGATCTTGCCCGGGCAAAGGACATTAACAAAGAAGTTTATAACTTTTTAGCATCTGCTGGTAACAAATATGGTGTTGGATTCTGGAAACCAGGTTCCGGTAAGTTTTTTTTTCCACTAAAATGTATACATTATTATAAATGTGGGTTCTTATGTAACATATACAGGGCAAGACAGGAGGAACTCTACATACTTCAGCCGTATGCAGCCGCCTTTAAGAAGAATGTCATTGACCATTATTATTAACTATGTTAAGGAGTTTCAGTTAGAGTAAGATCTAAAATATTGTGTATCACTAAGGTGGCAATTATATAATTTTCCAACCCTTCCATTCCTACTTCTCCAAGGAAGTTTAGTATTTGAAGTGGTTCGCCTTCGTATATCTGATATTCACCCAGGTATAAGTGCCTTGGGGTTCCGTAATGTCTAACATTCCGCCTGAATGTGGATGAATATTTTGTTCTCACATTATTTGCACTCACATTCTTCCACTAGCCCAAGGTGACCTTTGAATCGGCAATGTCCGGTAAGGAACCTGTTAATATTAGTAGCTTGCTGAAGCAGATACAGGCATTCACTTTAAATGTGTAATGTACAATTATTTTAGTAGGAAATTTGGTTAGAGCAACACGGTTTGACATGAGATGACTTTTTAATGGGGTAATCTGGGTTTTTCGTAGAAATTTAAGATTTGTACAAGGCAGTGTTTACTTCTAATAACAGAATATATAAATTAATTCAATATTTATCTTTTAAAAAAGAGGTTCAATATAACGTAATATAAATTTAAGAATTAATAATTCATATTATTAATAAGTACTTTTGCTAGCTTTGAACTCTTAATATTTGGAGTGTTTTTAAATACATAATCCAAAAACTATTATTATAAATAATTTAAATTTAAATGGATTTCAGTCAGTAATGTTTAAATAGTCTAATTCAAACACTTTTTATTATGAACTCTAGATAAGAACTGAATAAATATTACAATATTTCAGGTAAAGAAAAGAAGTACGTTTGCCTAATTGTATTTTAATTTCGTCTTAATAATACTCAATAACAAATTTACGGCTGCAATTTAACCATACTTGTAGAAAAATCAACAAGTATAATTATTTTCAGTATGTATTTTTATTGATTGCATAAAAACGATTATGGCCTTTTCTTATTGTTAGTTACACACGCCCACAAAAAAGGATATCAAAATAATACAAAGTGATCAGTAAAATGGCCATACCTCTGGAAGTAATGAACAACTTTCAACCACAAAAAATAAAAAATGGCTCCTCTAACCCAATAATAATGACTATTTTTAACTTCACCAAGATATAGGCAGAGAATCGATTTTGGCAATATGGAGGAGTGTTTCCTGCTAGTTGGTGGTCGAAAACTTGGGATTTTCATTAGAGCAAAATATCCAAAAATTAGAATTACCCGACCGTTTGCATTATGTTTTGCTGCCTATAATGGACTTATGTTGTATTCACTAAATTTGATCAGTGTATCTTAAAAATCTCGTATTATTTTCTTCATGTATCATGAAGATTAAACAACCAAAAATAATGAAGCAAAATATAGTACTTAGGAATTAATAATTTTTTAAATATTTTGTTGTTATGAAGGTTAAGACAAATAGTAGAGAATGACTTATCTAATCTAAAACTTACACATTTTATTTTAACAAAGCGAACTTTAGAATAATATTTATAATCGTATTAATTAGATATATTTATGTACATAAATATTTAATAAATTAAAGAAAAAATCGGATAAAATGTAATTTTGTACTTCAGTTAGTAACGATATTATAACGTACTTCTTTACAAATTATTTATCATTATTTACTTAGCAGACGTTATTAGAAATATCAATTTTTTGGAATCATGTTTAAACATGAAAATTTTTAACATAAAAAAATATATTGAGCAGTTTGAAATCTAGAGGTTTTTTTAACTTTTATTTTTCTGAAAAAAAGCTTATTGAAATGTTCCACTATAATTGTATTAAAGCCGCCATACATTGCAGCCTGTTTACTGCATGTCCATTGCTGGCTCGCAGAAAAATGCACTTCCTTCGTACACTGTAACATGTTTTCAAGACTTTATTTATTGCGAATTGTGACAGTTTTTTGATTTTATTGTGAACGAAAATTTTTGATTGTATTATATTATTATTATGAAGAAAATGGATTTAGCCGATTTTGTAGACGTCGAGACCCTTATAACAACGAAGCATTGTTGCCAACTACTTTTGACTTTTTGTTATCATGAGTACCACATTAATTTGTTTTAAATTTTAGATTGTTTTCATAAAAAGTTACTAAAGTTGTACACAATTGACCTTGAAAATTAGAAATGTTTTTATATTTTTGTTTGCCTGTTTATTGCAGCAAACATGCAACGAACACTGAAAGACATGCACTGTAGTCACGAAAAATAGGCCAGCAATGGAATTGCAAGCAACATGCTTTTTTGGTAGGAGCCTGTTTTAGATCTACATATAGGCTACCTTATATTTTGAGAAACATTGGTCGCAAAGTAATTTGAAGTTAGTCATATACCTCTTAATTGAATAGTGATGAATTAAAATAAGGATAGGGTGGTAGTCCCTACTTTGGCTACTAGGAGAGTCAAATTATACAGAGAGCTTCCACGTATAATCATAGGCCGAGCATTAATATATTTTTTAAGATTTATTGACCTAAGAATTTATTAGCGACAATTAATTATAAAAAATAAGCGATTTTAAATTCAAGATAGCGGTATTTATTAGAGTTTGCTAAGTGTAGCCAATAACAAATTAAAAGGGCATTTGATTTAATTCGGCACCAACTGCTTCCTTATTCTGTTCATAAAATTGTCGACAATAGCAATAGCTTCAAATACTCACACAGTTGGCATTCACTATCCTCATCTAAGAAGTGGCGTTGCGCACTAACTCTCTCACATTTGATCTCAGATATCTCGCGTTTTTAACTGATGGCACTCCTAATTTGCGGCTATTTTTTCATAGGCAGCAATATATCATGTTAGAAAAAAAATTAGCTTTAATTTGATATAAAAAACATCCGTGTAAGTCACAAACGTATAGATAGATCAAAATATTACCTGCTTACACCTGTCTGCGAGGTAGTTGCGGCCGAGTATGGAACGGCACTTAAGGATTTTAGAATTCTTTACATGCATTGTTATGATGTGGATGATATTTTATTTTAAAGAGAAGTAAACGAATTTTTTTTTGGAATATTAATTAACATTAATTTAACTAAAATTACTTGTGGCCACTTTTGACTGGCTGCGGTGTTATCAGTGTATTCTCCTATTCATAAAATCATGTAAAAATTTGTGTTTCACTCAAAACTTAATGAACGTAGTGATTTTGCAGCGGGATCTCGTACTATTATGACCCTTTAATCTTATTTCTAAGCCTTCCATAAACTCAGTGTTGTTTGATATCTGAAAGCTAAGAGATTACTTTCAAAATCCGCTTCCATCTTCCGACCTTTTGGAAATAGCTATTTGTGTATTAAGAGCAGAAATTGCTACTCTGCTGCTTAAGATAAAAAGTTGCCGCGCTGCGGAGTGCGGCATTTTATCGTAAGCGGCAAATAGCTTTCCGCTCGAATTACACACAAGATTTTCTTCTACGATCACACGATATTAAAACTATATAGTTTTATTTTGCCGAATTCAAATCTTACTACGTTAATTTGACAGACACGGCTAACTTGACTAACAAACGAAAAGTATGTTATGTGTATATTGTGTTGCCTGCTTACTTGAAGATTAATTTTATGATTAGCATAAAAAATATTTGTTAGTAAGTACATCTTAAAAATAACTTACAAGATCATCGGTTAGATTACTCAAATCGCAAATGAATAGCTCATGCATTGTTTTAAGTTTTATTTAATTTTACAAACAAAAAAATAAAATTAAAAAAAAAGTATATAACTGGTGAGGATTGAACTCACGACCATCAGGTTCAAAGACAAACGCGCTAGGCTCTACACCAACAAGACTAGTTAAATATGAGTGTTAAAAACAGGGTAATTTATTTTTAATATTTTAATTGACATTTAAATATTAAGGAAAATGAGTTTGAGTATTAAATGTTCAACTAAAAGATTTAGATTAGTCTACATTTTCTTTTAAAATACCGATTAGCTTTATAATAATAAATTTTCTAATGAAAATAGGCGTGTGCAAAAAGTAACTTTCCTATATGCGGCAATAATGTCAAACTATGACATTTTATGGAAAACGTCATCTTTTCAGTTAGATTTGAATGTGCAAAAGCCTACTTTGGATAGTGATCGTAAAAAAAAATATTTACAGCTTCGCCGTTGTCTGCTATTGTTGCACAGTCACTGAAATAATTGATTACATAGATCTAGAGCTACAATCCGAAACCGGAATAATAATTTCCGCCAATTTTTATTTACTATTTTATATTCAATCATCTTTTAAACCATAGTTAAAAATAAATACAGGGTAGCTAGACGAAAACGTACCAAAACCATTTTCAGGAACTGCAGCAACATTTTAAACAAACATCTGGAGCCTTCAATTTTTTATCACCTTTCTATCATATGTTCAACAGACTTTCCCTCCCCTCCATCACTCTAACCAATACATTTTAAATAGGGAAAGCATGGAAAATTAATTGTGTTATTTTTTATTTTAGCGCCCTCTAGCGGGATAAAAACTGTTACGTGAAACTTTATTTTCAACAAAACAATTGAACGAAACATTATCTTAAATAATTGAAAAATTTCGCAGAGCTCTAACTTTAAAAAATACAAATTTTAATCGCAATCAACCAAAATAACAAAGGACACCGCAGTTTCCTTATGGCAAATTGCTTTCAGTCGAATCTCCTCCTTCAACTTGTAAATTCTCATAATTTTCAAAAATACTTAGACGAAAACGTAATTTTGTTGACATTCATAAATATTAAAAAAATATAGTTCGGCTCTCTAGGATATTTGTGACTAGCAAAATACGTTATTAACCGTTTTGGAAAACAACTGTATAGGGTGAATAATTTTTTAAATTAAAATAATATCGATTTACACCTAAAATAAAGGTTATGTTAGAATATTTATATACGGTTATATTAGTTTGTATAAACGACACTATTATTATAATAAAATATATGTATACAGGATGAGCCAAAAAGTTGGTTCAGTGAGTGTTGCTCTTTTACAATATACCTTGTATATCGCAATGAGCATAATATACAGAGACAGTAAAAATTTATATAAAGTTGAAATATACAAAAATGGCCATGTTTTACAAAACTGTAGAGTGATAATTTAATCGGTCAAATCACTTATGATGTTGATGTATTAAAACAACCAACAAGTTTATTTTCACAAGTTAATCCATGTTCCTATGACTAGTTTTTTGTTTTGTAAGGAAACAATTTTTTTATTGCTGCCTTCTGCAGATTTTACAATGAAAATATTGTGACATTAATTGATACTTATTATACATTCTGCAATACAAAAAGGTACAAAAACTAAGTTTTGTTTATAAACCCACGTAATATAATATACTGATCTGTCTTAAGTCCACTATACAGGAAAACGAACACTGGACGCCTTATTTTGTGACATATTAAAATATTGAAATAAATAAGAGTGTTTTAAAAATGCCACTCGTCATCAATTCTGGATTGTCTACCTACTGGAGAAGAACCACTAACGGGCAATTTTTATAACCTCAAAGGTGGTGTGAAACAGCGAAAGAATTATCATTTATATTATTTCAATAAACGAGAGTTTTATGGAATTGATAACGAAAACGTGTATAAGAGATTCATTTTGTTAAAACTATTAGTAACAATTTGAAAACCCTTTAAAGGTAAGTACTAAAATTCGTAAAAATGTTCTTAAAACAATGACTTAACCCACACATACCTAATAATTGTTGTATGAAATTAATATTTCAGCAGAAGTCAGTAATAAAAAAATTGATCGTTAAGATTGTTGTTTAATAGGTATATCCAAATAATACTTTATTTGACTGATTAATTATCTCTCTACAGGGAGTTTTGTAAAAAATAGCAATTTTGTATATTTCAACTTTATATAACTATTTACTCTCCCTGTATGTAATGTCCAAAATATAAATTTTTGTTTATGTGGTGTTGTACTTGTTTGGGACCCATTACGATATACAGGGTATATTGTAAAATAGCGACACTAACTGAACTAATTTTTTGACTCACCCAGTATACACGCATTTTTTTATAATAATAAAGTGTCGTTTACATGCACTTATGTAACCATATATAAATTATACATTTATTATCATTATTTTAGGCGTAAAACGATTTTTTAAACAGGCAATTTTTCTACATCAATTTAAAAAGATACTCATCCTATTAATGCAGTTGTTTTCTAAAATGGTTAGAATCGTATTTTGGTACTCACAAATATCCTAGAGAGCCAAACCGTAACTTGAAATATTTATGAATGTCTGCAAAATTACTACATTTACATCTTGAAGTATTTTTTTAAATTATGAGAATTCACACTGTATCTCAAAAACTAGTCATATGCTAACTTTGTACCCATGGACACTTTTAATTGCTAGATCAAAAACTGCAACATATACAAAATTCATCATATTGAACTGAAAGCCATTTGCCATAAGGAAACTAAGGGGTCCTTTGTGCTATGCATTAAAATACTAACAATACGTTAGTTTTTATCCCATTAGAGGGCGCTAAAATCAAAAACAACTCAATAAATAGTCATTGCTGAAGTCTTCATAAAATTACTTTTTCAATGATGTGTCATATTTGGTACTTCTGTATTTAAATTGTATTGATTAAAATGACGGAGTGGAGGGGGGACGTATGCTATTTGAGGATATGATGAAAAGATGTTCCCCTTTATCAAAAATTAACGGGTCCGCGCGTTTGTCTAAAATGTTCATGCAGTTCTGGTACGTTTTCGTCCAGCACTACCTCTGAGTTGCCTTAATACTGTTACTCAAATTGATAGACTCATTTTCAAATTATTGATAGTTAGAATTATCTAGTTCAATTGTTATTTATACCTGTGACTATTAATACAGACTGTTGATAATTTTCTAACGAAACAGTCTTTGCCGACTTTTTATAATTTTGATAAAAGTCCAGATAATTTTTGCGATTCGGAAGAGTACCGTTTGTATTTATACCCGGTCATTTTTTAATTAGAGATTTAAATATAAAAGAACTCAAAAAATGGGCGCACGGACATGTTCATGAAATACATTGAATAATTTCTTCAACAGATTATCGCCTTCTATCTCAATTCACTTTTACCTTATTTATTAATAATAAGAAAATATCTAAATTCTAAGTCTAATGGACTGACTTATGAACAATGACGATCTGTCTTGATATGATGTCTTCTTTAACTTCTTTTAATATACATCTTCAATATTGGTATGACAAAATGTTTTTCCTTTTTTAGGCATTATTCATCAAATCATCTTGGAAAACTATGCTTTTCCTGGTCTTCTCATGATTGGTACTGATTCCCACACACCAAATGGAGGAGGCTTGGGTGGTTTATGCATTGGTGTGGGTGGTGCTGATGCAGTAGATGTAATGGCCAGTATTCCATGGGAATTAAAGTGTCCTAAGGTTATTGGTGTCAAACTTACAGGTAAGTAATTTGAATTTGCTTTATATATCTCACTGTATAATACCTTTTTCTTATTATTTTTAGGAAAACTGTCAGGCTGGACTTCTCCTAAGGATATCATTCTCAAAGTAGCTGATATATTAACAGTAAAAGGCGGTACTGGTGCTATCGTTGAATACTTTGGACCTGGATGCGAATCAGTTTCTTGTACTGGTATGGCAACTATTTGCAATATGGGTGCAGAAATTGGAGCTACTACCTCTCTTTTCCCTTACAATAAAAGAATGTACGACTATTTGGTTGCTACAAAAAGAGGTGAAATCGGTGAACAAGCCAATAAATACAAGGAACTTCTTAGTCCAGACAAAGGTATTTACAGTAAAATTTATTTAATACCTAATTTAGGGGTTAACAATATGTATACCGATATTAAAAAGAAATGGATCCACCTAGATATCTTGCAATTTTTTGTTCTTTTTAAATGCAGTTTGGTTGACTCAGAGGTTGACTTTTTCGGCTGAAACTTTATCACAATCTGTAATCATCTACTGCGATTTCGTTTTTATCTAAACCAAACTAATTCGATTTAATTTAACCCTAAAACAATGAAACCCAAAATTTCGTTAACAACTAGTTTAAATATTATTGTTTATGATGTGGTGTAATGCCCTCTCTATATTGTCTTATATAAATAGAGTTAAAAAGAAAATACATTTTTGCTTACTTTCTTTGCCAAATTAAAGTTCTTTTGTTACCATTTTCCGAATTAATTATGATGGTACATGAAGCATATATGGTATAGAATCGTTTAAATTATTTAATTTATCTTTAGATGCCAAATACGACCAAGTTATTGAAATTAATCTGGATACCCTTGAACCACACGTCAATGGACCATTCACCCCAGATTTGGCCAGCCCAATTAGTAAATTAGGAGAGAATGCAAAAAAAAATAATTGGCCAGTTGAAATTAAAGTTGGATTGATCGGATCATGCACTAACAGTTCATATGAAGACATGGGACGGTGCGCCAGCATAGCCAGAGAAGCCATGAAGCATGGAATCAAATCAAAAATTCCTTTTAATGTTACTCCTGGATCCGAACAAATCCGTGCTACCATTGAAAGGGACGGAATTTCCCAGACCCTTGAAGAATTTGGTGGAACTGTGAGTATATTTTGAAAATATTTTAAAGTATTTAAAATTTCGGTTGGTAAATGAAGATGATAACAAAAGTTAATTATTTTGATTTAATTTAATTATGTGTTTACACCACTCAATAGAAACCAATTACGGAGTGGGAGTAACCACAATATACAAATTAGTGCACAGAGAAAAATATTGTAAATATTCAGTTGAACATAATATATAAAAAAAAAATTAAGAGAAAAGTTTGGTTTAGACAGACATTACATATACATGTAAAGCTACTATGAAATAAATCAAACTGGGCACTGAATTTATTACAAATATGACAAAGTGTGTAAACTGGCGATTTTAATAAATCATTAGTTCGGGGAGTTGTTAGATAAAAGAAATCAGTTGTTCGAGATGTTAAGTGTGGAATCAGAAAGTTCATATGTATTTCCTAAAAGGGTTGGATCATGTATAATATTATTTAATAACTTATACATAAATATAACAGCATAGTATTCTGGATGAGGACTGAGACTTTTCATTTCATGATTCAGAAGTAATAATTCCTGTGTAATACCTCCGGGAGGATATATTCCATCGTTTACGAACGATAAATACTTTAATAAGCGTCTTTGGACATATTCAACATTATCAATGTGTACCGAGTAAAAGGGAGACCAACCAACAGGCACATACTCTAATGTGCATTATATAGGGTTTTTAATGTCGAATTATATTGAAAATCTCTGCCATTATGTATTACGAAGCCATATTCGCTCTGTGCGCGACAGCAGAGCCAATTTGTTTTGGTATTAAAGGACTATTTCTGCCTATACTGACAAATACAATTTTTGCTAGAATTCTTAAATAAAAAGTATATATGTTAGTTTTAATAAAAGTATATGGATTTGTAAAATCAGCAAAACATTAATTTATTATTAATATATATTTTTCCCGCTTAAATTAAAGAAAATTATGTATAATCAATAAAAATCAATAATAAAATATAGACAGGCAACAGTATTTACTGGAAAATGTATGAGAAGTTGCCTAAGTCTAATAAGTTGTCATTGAAGAATTAGCCTATTCTGTCAAAATAAAAAAATACCATTTAATAATAGCGTGAAGTTAAAATGTATAGAAAAGGATCGTTATTTATATTTTCATTTTTGTTCGAAAGAAAACATAGAATGAATGATTAAAACTGGTTTCCCATCAGTAAGTCACAAAATTGCATTCCAGCCACATATAATCAAAGGCAGAAATCTTGAAATCTAGTCCTTGCTGAATGAACATTTAAGAATAAAGGGATATTAAAGAACATCGTAAAATGATAATTTATTGTTTATTTAAAACCTTTCAAGTTTCTGATGTCTACTATTTTTAGCATTACTGTTATTATCACAAAAATAAAGGTGATTTTTCTTCTTTTTGTGCACCTATCCATTTATTTCTTTGATTAATTTCCACTTTGCTAGTGAAATTTTTTATATAAGTTTCACTGTTTTTTTTTTGCTAGTATTTGTACAATTTTCAATACAGGAACTCCGATTGCTTATTGTGTTGTTTTTACCTACTTTTTTGAAAAAAAGTAAAATGTATACGTGTATTTGATATGCGAAAATTACAAAATATCGCCCTAAAATGCACGAATTATCCGCAGCTAGCGCTAGTATCGCTTTTGCTTCCCTTTCCATGACTTCGCACGGAGCGAATACTCGATTCGCTGCAGTTACAATATTTTCTATATGAGCCATAACATTAAGTTTTTTATCGAATGTCACTGATAAATCATTTAATGTTATGAGTCTTTTTGAAGATACATCATTAATGGAATATGGATATATTTTATGGGACATGATTTCAACGTTTAAGACATAAAAAGATATATTGATGCAGGGATCTTCATTGACAACTATGGTCAATAGAGGCTTGACCTTCGATGAGACTCTGTTGCATAATGTTGTTATGTGATGGTACTATCTTAATGAATGAGTGTTCATACATCCACCTGTGTCATGATATAAGAGATGCGAAATATTTGTATACCCTGCTATTCGAACAAAGATATGTGCATTCTTATTGTGTTTAGTCAATTGTTTTTATAAATAGGATTCTTAATGTTGCAATATTTACTTTTGTGATTTAAAATATTATGTTACTCTTTTAGATTCTATTTTTAGAAATGATCTAACTTGTGTATTTGTAAGCATGGTTTAGAATATTATTTGTGATGCTTTGACGACTTTCATTTTTTATACAGGGTTGTACTGAAGTCACTTGTATATATTCATTATTGTGCCCTCTGTTTTGGATTAATGAGAATGGACTGTATGTAGTTTTATAAGTTTTATTTTAAACAATAATTGTCACTTGAAAATTTGTTACAAGATAGCATTTTAACGTATTATATTTTATGCTTTCTTGTCTACCACGAAAGCTTGTCTGGTTTTGTTCCGCGTAAGTCGGATGCATTTTAAAACGTTTAAAACAATTTTCGATCAAGTGACATCAGAATAACGGATATATTGTCTCACAGTTCGCCGCGATACAAACAGATACAACAGAGTTAATAAAATACACTAGACCATTAGTCCGGGAAACCTAGAACAAATTATAGTCAGAAACACCCTCTATAATTAATACCACATTTATGAAATTCACACATTTTTATTGCAATGGCAAGCAGTGCAATAGCTCTTAATTTGTTTTTTTGTTTTTATAGGTACTTGCCAATGCCTGTGGACCTTGCATTGGCCAATGGGACAGGAAAGACGTCAAAAAAGGCGAAAAGAACACAATTGTAACTTCATACAATAGGAACTTTACAGGTCGTAATGATGCTAATCCAGCAACTCACTGCTTCGTCACTTCACCAGAATTAGTTACCGCTTTAAGCATTGCAGGATCGCTCGACTTCAATCCCTTAACTGACCAGCTTACCAGTTGCGACGGAAAGAAGTTCAAGCTAACGCCTCCCTTTGGAGATGAACTTCCCAGCAAAGGTTTCGATCCCGGTCAAGATACATATGTGCATCCAGTAAAAGATGGTTCCAAAGTAGCTGTTGACGTAGATCCCAAATCGCAAAGGCTTCAGTTGTTGACGCCTTTTGATAAATGGGACGGAAAAGATTTGGAGGATATGACAATTCTAATCAAGGTTAAAGGAAAGTGTACTACTGATCACATTTCAGCAGCTGGTCCTTGGTTAAAATACCGTGGTCACCTCGACAATATTTCCAACAACATGTTTATAACGTAAGTTCAAATGGCAAACTTTTATTCATTTTTTAATCTTTATTTTTCGTTTGTTTTTCATTGTTATTCTGTTATTTTTCATGGCGACACCGGTGTATCTCAGTTAATAACAATAATTACTGTTAGGGGGGTGGGTGGCTCAGTGGTAGAGTCTCTGCCTGCGGATCCAAGGGTCCCAGGTTCGAATCCCACCGTGGGCCGGAATTTTTTTATTTTAATTTAATTATTTAAAATTAATTCTGATGCCTTGGTAGTAGAGGTGTGTCGTTCGCGAACGATTCGTTCAAAAAGAACGAATCAGTGCACTGACTCGATTGAATTGATTCCCTGTTTTTAAAAGATTCGAATCTTTTTTGAGTCAATTGTTCGATGGCTCTGCGATCGATCAAACATGCCGAGTTCCGAGTTTGGTTGCTTCGTTCATTCGAAATCTGATAAATAAATTTAAATCAAAGTAAAATTAAAACAATAAATGACGAATCGTAAATATATAATTTTGCGTTAATATTGGCTATATATTTAGCATTAAAAAAAAATTGTATCATGGTTGTTTATCTTAACGGACAAGGATGTATTTACTATTCAGCTGCCTTTTTTTATGAAATATGATACATTAATTCGCTTTACTTTAAAATAAATCTGGATATAATTATTTTACTCGGCGACCTAGTAGGTAGGTATGTTAGGTAGTACTCAAATTCGTAAAAGTTCGGTTCGATTTCCTTCGCCGGCTCGGCGGAATAACATCGTTCGTGGTTCGCCAAAGTGAATCACTTGAGAACGAATCTTGAAGAACGAATCTTATTAGGTGAATGAATCAAATGAATTAATTCAGTAGAAAGATTCGAACTTCCCACCTCTACTTGGTAGGATTCCCCACTCGACCATTCACGGTTGGGTTCTAATTAAGAGTGCTGTCCCTAAAGTGGCGCTGGGAAACAGTAACAAAGCCTACACAGAACACGAGGCTAATAACCTTAGTAGTTGATGCCGATGACACCAAATTAAAAAACAAAAATAATAATTACTGTTAAATTTGGGATGTAAAAATACACCCATAATATGATTTTTTTTACATGATCAGAAATGCTATCCCTCATTGTCGTGCTGTTAGTTCTAGAGGAAGGAATTTAGTTACTAGTCTTACTTGATAGAGCATGAACTTTTCTAGACTCCACTTTTTTTTTTTTTTTAACTTCGATACGACAGCTGCGAGCCAAAAAACAAAGAATGATTGAAAATTTGTTTTGAAAATAGTTTTATTATAATTCCATTTATGATAATAAAATTTAGCTTTAAACTTCTTTCTACATTTATGATTGTCCCTGTATTTGATCACACATATGTATTAATGTGAAATCTAATGGATTGCATTAGTAAAATTATTGATTTCTATATCATTATTTTTGAAATATTATTTTATGGCTTTATATTTAGTGTTACTAAGCTGTGGTTATAATATTAAACGTAAGCCCAAACCAATAAATGAAAAAAAAAAAATAATAATAATATTTAGAAGAATATCGTCTGCTTTGAACTAAAAAATGTATGTTACTTAACTTGTCCAGAGACCCAGAAATTATCCTATGAGCTCCAAACGTCCCATAATCCCAGTACCTTAGTGTTCCTGCCTATTGAGACCCAATTCCCGATCCACTCAGGTAGGCTTCTTGTGATCTTACCTTTACAATTTTATTTTATATATATTTTTAACATAACCGAATATCAAGTTTTAATTATTTATCAGAATATTAGAAAACATGAATGATATTTAATTCGATAAATCTACACAATAATTTATTATATTTACCTTCTTAATTGTAATTAAGTGATAATAGAAGTTTGAAAAACACGCTGAAATGTCTTGATCATTTTTTCGAAATAATTTTGATACGTAGCAAAAACATATACATTTTCTAAATATATATTTTTTTAGTGCTACTAATGCTGATAATGGAGAACTTAACAAAATCAAGAATCAAAGTACGGGCCAGTGGGGAGCTGTACCTGATGTAGCTCGTGATTACAAATCCAAAGGCATTAAATGGGTAGCTATTGGAGACGAAAACTACGGAGAAGGCAGTTCACGTGAACACGCCGCACTAGAACCAAGGCATCTTGGAGGACGTGCGATCATCGTTAAATCGTTTGCTCGTATTCACGAAACCAACCTCAAAAAGCAGGGTATTTTACCACTTACTTTTGCCAATCCCAGTGACTATGACAAAATACAACCCACAGACAAAATATCTTTGAAAGGTTTGAAAAATGTTACACCTGGAAAGCCTGTAGACTGCGAAATTAAACACGCCGATGGCTCAGTAGATAAAATTAAACTTAACCACTCTTTGAATGAGCTGCAAATCACTTGGTTCACTGCAGGAAGTGCTTTAAACCGTATGAAGGAATTGTCTAACTAAAAACCTCGTATTATTTATGTTTTATTTAATGTACAGTATAGAATTAAATTATAAAATTGTGAATACATTTTCTTCATTTCTGTTTGTTTATATACCAATTTTTTATGTAGATGCTAAAAATGGCCTTATAATAAAATTAGACAATATTTTTTGTTTTAATTCTAAAATATTTACTTAAATATTCTTAGCAGTCATGTTTAACAAAAAGTAAAGATTTATTTAGATAAAAAAAGTTATATAAATATAATCAAGATACCGAGCATTTGATCCATTTTACTGGTTTATTTAAAGTTTACGTTCGCGCTAGAAGGCTCACAAAAATGAATTTGTTTGAACAATTGTACAATTAATTTGAATTGTAATAAGTATCTGTAAATGAATTCATAAAAAGTAATAAACGTCAAAAAAGGTTAAGGTTTACTAAGTCTGTTTATACATTAATAAAGTAGTGATTTAATATGTTTTATACAAACAAAAGTCACACAGTTTTTCATTTCAAATTCTTTATTGGTGCCAGGGACGTCGTAACATATATATGGCAACTTATATTTAATAATGTTGCAATGTATAACACAAGTAAAAAAAACGTTTTATCTATTACCAATCTGATAACCATATTACGTGGCTAGGAACTGATACAATAGACAGTGGGACAATGTAACAGAGTTGTAATACATTGAAATAATTTCTTTCATTATAAAAATTTAGGCAAAAAACTGTTTAAAATACGTAATTGTTAGCAAATTACAATACCTAAATTCTTAGGTACTTTATTTGAATCTAAGAACATAAAAACACTTAATAATATATAAGTAACTTGCTTGAAGTTGATAACACAAGTCACCTGCTAGCAGTTGATCGGTTTGTTACACGTTACCATGTGTCTGGGAATTTGTTTTCTTTCGCACTTTTGAGTCACACTCCATATGCAACTCAAGGCAACGTTGATATTTAATTTGTAGAAGAAATATTCACATGTGAGTTTAGTTAGTTGTTTGGTTTGTGATCAGTAGCGTCTCGGCAAAAAATGATAAATAAGTTAATTAATTCCAGGTAAATTATTTTGTTTTTCTTTTCAAATTGTTTAAACGTCATTTAAAATTAATCAGAAGTTACCCATCGAAACGGCATCATTTTTAAAAAGCGAATTTTAATTAAAAAAGTAATATGATTGTAACAAAAGTTTTGGCAAAGATTGCCCACTGACTGTTTTTAAACAAACGTTATATGTTGTTCCATGTCAATTTCCACATAATAGATTTAAATGGTGATGGGTAGGTTTTCCTCACCTCTAAATCAAATGACACCATCAATTATCTTTAAGGCGCCTCGGAGCGCCACAGCAAATAATAATACTTTTGTTACATAAGTTATTCGTTATTAGTAGATGAAGCAGTAAAATTTTGCGAGAAATTAACGAGAGTTTCAGACTGTATGGTTTACCGAACATTAAAACAGTATATAAACGGGTGTATATAAACAAGCAAATGGACGGATGTAATCTCAGCCGGAATTAGGTCAAGTACTTAAACGGAACATGTAAATTCGGCCAGAGGTTTAAGGGTTCATTCTTATCATATAAGTATTTTTGGCCGAAAGGAACAGGTAAAATAAAATATATTGTTCTATAAATGCTGCAACTTTTTTTATTAAATCAAAGTCAAAAAACAGAACATAATATGTACAACTTAAAAATAAGTAATTATGTACATACTTAAAAATTATTGCTAAAAACATACCTATCTTCCATGGCTGGTTGCTTCGCAATATACAGTGTACCTACTTAAGTTGGAACCATATGGAAACTTTTTTATTATTGGTTTTCTGAAAAAAATTATTGATAAAAAGTTCTGCATGGTCCAAAACTTGAAATTGCTGAAGAGTAAGTACCTTCATCTTTGACAAACCTCGTATAGACTGATAATAAAATTTGCCCTTGTTTTTGAAGCTTCAAGTTCAGGTCGTTTAAGTGTCCTGTGATGTCTACCAGGAATGCCAAGTCGCAAAGCCAAGTTGGATCACAAATATTGCGGCAATGGTTTGTCTTTCATTTCCATAAAATCCTACCCACATAGCACACGGACGTCTAAAAGACGACCTTCAGGGACATAAAGGACGTCCTCTTTTGGTACCGGGACGTCAATCGGACGTCCAATGGACGTCCTAATGTCCCGTTTCCGTCCATCTTTGGGACGTCCCTAGGAATCCTAGGGACGTAAATCAGACGTCCGAGGGACGATATTTGATCATAATCCATAAAGGGTGATAATAAAAAAAAAATGTTAACAATAAAAGAGCTTTATTTAACAACTTTTAAAAAACTAGCTAGACTTAAACGTTTTCAAAAAAAAAAAAAACAAGAATGAATTAAATTTAACACACAGCGCTGGTAAGATGAAACCTTGGGTCCTACTTATAGCGAGTATTATAATTTTGTCAAAATTAGTTTTATTCCAACTTTCCGCCATTAAGGTATTTTCTTTCTGCCAACGGCTACCGCCAATACAACTCACTTATTCTCACCTCAACACAAAACACTCACTTCACTTTATAATCACTTTACCACCAACATCAAGAAAATAACAAATAACACTATATAACCTTCTTTTTTCTTCGTTAATCTAACTCACTTATATAAGTTAATTATTGAATGCCGAAAATTGTAGTTGTTGTTGTTCATTTGAAAATAAATGATAGGTTAAGTTTTCTGTCCTCATACTCTTGCAAAAACAAAACGTTATCGATTCAAAGACCAACGATGCTAGTACATAAAAAGTCCCATAGACGTCCCATTAACGTCCCCGACTCGGACCGAAACCTAAACGCTTTGTCGAAACGGGACCAAAATAGGACGTCCTTCGAAGGACGTCCTAGTGTTCACTGTAATCGGAAGTCCAGTGGACGTCCTATTTAGGTCCTGGACCAACAAGGGACCAGATTAGGACGTCTATGGGACGTTCTGTGCTATCTGGGTAAGGTCATAAAATCTTTTTATCATTGTACCTTTGCTTAGTCATCTTACTTCGCAATAATATGTCACATCATCGTGTTCTGAAGAAATTTCATCCAAAAATGCTTTAAACTGGCGACAGTTAAGACCGCAAGATCTAATGAAATTAAATGGTATTTACTACCACATCCATAACATTCTTCAATCGAATGGACTTAGAGCACAAGTTTTGTTGGTGAATAATGCAATGTAGAATTATTAAATCACATTCATAGCGGTTGCTCTTTCCTTCAGAATTCCGATAAAACCTTTTCATGAACCGACCATTGAAGGTGCACCTTAAGTAATTTACACCATTGCAAACTATATTGCGCAAAAGTACTTTGCACCTCGGCAAAAATATCTTTTCCAGTAGAAGTCCCGTGTAGCGGCCGTAAAGCCAGTAATTCCTTTGCCGCTGCAACTTCTTCATCAACACCTCGTATAAAAATAGCTAGCTGGGCTGTGTCAGATAAATCTGTACTCTCATCCAAAGCAATCGAAAATGCTTGAAAACCAGCTATCATATCTATACATAGAACAATAGTACGTCGCGATAAGTTCACTTTCTCAAACTCTTTCTTCTTTTCTGGGCACAAAAGTTCTGCAACGTCTACTAGGCACTCTTTAACAAACTGTCCCTCAGAAAATGACTTCGATGTTTTCGCTATTTTGGAACTAATTATAAAACTAGCTTTAACAATGTCTAAATTTGATCTTTGAAAATAAAACATTTATTGCCGTTTCCCTAAATCGGTAATGAGTTTTTAATTTTATTCTTAACTGGCCTATAAGTGAATTATATTGAGCAAAATGCTTCCTGCAGTTAAATGCCGCTTCATATTGTATTCTTTTAAAACAGAAATTGTTTCATTACACAACAAACACATATATTTGCCACTGTGCAAGATAAAAAAGTATTCATCAGTCCATTTACTTTCCGCTTTTTTGAACCAGATATGTTTTTGCTTGAATATTTTCCGCGTCGTACTCAGGATCGTACGTGAATATGCGATGCGAACTTTCAGTTGATAAGAAGTAATGAGGTGAAGCGTGCTGAGCGTTTTATATATTACCCTCAATAAGCAACTAGAATACTCTCGATCGTACGACTATTTCTAACAGGATCTGTGGCGTTCCACTGCGTACGTTTAATAATATTATTTATCGATTTTTGTGATTGAGTTGAAGAATACAGTGGCGTTCCACTGCGTACGCTTAATACAATTACAAATAAACTATTAGCGTTTTCGATTCCATTGCCCTGCCTGCGGGGAGTGCACATAAAACATGAGCGATATATCGATACCTGTTACTTTTTAGAGTGAAAAATAGCTGGTATCGACATATCTCCCACCTTTCGTATGCTCTCAGAGCAAGCCGAGCACTGGAATCGAAAACACTTTTGTCACAGTTACAAACTAATCTACCAACGGCAAGCCTGTAGCAGTGTGAATACCCCAATTAAGCTTTTTCCGTGCCGAGCATGTGCCGTGCCATTGCCGATCCGGTTCATGACACATTTAGTGAGAATCGGTCATTATTCAATAAGAATTTCGTCTTGTTCCGCCGAAAAAGTGGGTCTCTGTTGACGCTTCATCTTGTCTTGTCACTGGAAAACCGAAAGTCTCTCTGAAGTGTCTCGACCGGCACCGCTCCTGCACAGCAAATATTATTTCGGATGAATGCCGCGTGCAAAGGCTGGCGCTTGCAGAGACGTTGTAGTGAATTTAACCCCGCAAAAGTCATACGATGTAAATGCTACAACGAAAAACATATTTTGCCGGTGCCTTGAACGAAAGTGAGAATCGGCATTTATAGTAGAAGTTACCGGATCATTCGAGAATGTACTCGCATCGCCAGCGTTGGCCCATTGTCGCGATGTTTAGGATATAAAATTCCATTACAATATTTTTACCACGAATTCTTTTTACAAAACCACCGAAACCCTGGGGTTTCGCGAACCACTATTTGGAAAACCCTGCTCTACAAGATTAATAATAATTATTTTTAGTCAGCACTTATATTATTAATTCTATAAGGAATATAAATATTACAATTTAAATCATTTTAAATAATTATTTTTAGTTAGCAATATGACTTTATAGAGCAAATAATTTCAAAATATTGATAAATGAACATAATTTAAACATAAATACTTCCTTTTTTAGTGCTACCAATGCCGAAAACGGGGAACTTAACAAAATTAAGAATCAAAGTACAAATGAGTGGTCAACTGTAACTGAAGTAGCTCGCGATTACAAATCTAAGGGAATTAAATGGGTTGTAGTTGGAGAAGAAAATTATGGAGAAGGCAGCTCCCGCGAACACGCTGCACTAGAACCAAGGCACCTTGGTGGATGTGCTATCATAGTCAAATCCTTTGCTCGTATTCACGAAACAAACCTCAAAAAACAGGGAATGTTGGCCCTCACCTTCGCAAATCCCGGTGATTATGCTAAAATTCAACCGTCGGACAAAATATCTTTGAAAGGTTTAAATGATCTCGCCCCCGAAAAACCTGTAGATTGTCATATTAAACACACCGATGGATCAATAGATAAAATTAAACTCAACCACACTTTAAATGAGTCTCAAATTTCATGGTTCAGAGCAGGGAGTGCATTAAACAGTATGAAGGAATTATTCTCCAATAATCCTGACAGTAATATATGTTAGTATCTAGCTTAAGTAAATATATATGTATATTTATATATAAGTAAATAATTGATAATATTCTTTCGCCATTCCTTGTTTACTTTCATATAGTTTTATTTAATGTACATGTAGTTTATAATTTGTTATATAGAAATTAAAAAATACTGGTAATCATGATGGTGTAATTTAGTTTTATTTCCGTAAGCGAGCTTTTATTCCTAAAGTAGCCAGGAATCTGCGCTGTAAATTTTCAAGTCTTTCCTTGGAGATTTCTGACTTCAAACTAGCCTTGTTTTATAATAATCAAAGCCTAACTGCTGATTTATATCGTGTTATTGTCCAAATTTGTACAGCTAGTTAAACATAAATATATGCGATTTATATTCGACTGCAACATTTACCAAGGGTATGTTTGAGAAATCTGTAATCAGTAAACACTAGAGACACTGAATATATTTTTTTCAATGCCTTATTTATTCAGGTATCAGAGATTTAAGTAGGTTTAGAACATTAAAATTGAGTGGAAGTAATACCCCAACCAAAATGTAGCCAGCCGTAAGACACACTGTAACATTTTAAAAATGTCATTTTGAATGTGTGACATACTGTATAAAAATAGTATTCGATTAATTTAAAATTTAATTATCGCTGCACGCAATATTCCTAAGAAAGGGAAATTTCGTGAAGTGGAAGTTTAGTTGGCAGAGGATGTCCAGATCGTGTCTTGAAATTACATTTTCAGATCATATCTTGAACCAACTACCAGTGTCTGGCTGTAAACAGCGGTAAGTTAAAAATGTCATTAAAAAAATATCTCAATAGAAATTATATTTCTACTTTTTCTTAGTTATAAGTTTATTTTTTGAAAGTCAATTTAAATTTGTTCAATATGGTTTAATAATTCCTTTTGTGTTGCTGGAATTACACATTGTATTAATTATTTTTTAGTTGGAAATTTTAAAAAGTAGTTGTTTAAAAATTTAATTTATATCTCATACAAGAGCTTCGTGAAAAAACGGAATCTATTATTTGTTTAGAAAGCGAATAGAAGCAGCTACTTTCTTCCATTCCTTCTTTACCTTCCAAGCCGTTCAATATTTTCCATTTTTGACACTGGAGATAGACATCGCAGTTTTCTGTAAGGCAGAATGAATGAGATTGGTGTTTGGGCTCGTGGAGCTGAATTACAGTAAGATTGTTGTTGCTGTATCATATAAAAGTTGCTACCCTAACGAATATGGTGGTAACTAGACACGTGGCTAAATTTTTTATTGTACGATTGAGATCTAAATTTAAATAGTTGGTACCAGCTTAGTATATATACTCGTATGTTATTGGAATTTCACGCAAATTACTTAAAAAAACAAATTCATTTATATTAATGTTGAATCTTATTTTTAAAGGTTACAACAATTCTCTTTTACTTACATTTTACATAAGTTTGAACTTATCTTCCATTGATAAAGCTAGAGTTTATAATTCTTACTAGCTTTCTAAATAAAAAAGAGAAAACCATATGATCAATGTGATAATTTCTTTTTTGATTTAATTAAAGGTATTAGTCGTTTTCTTTTTACAAGCATACTTGACTAACTAAAAGTTAGATTCTGATCTAAGCTTAACTGTAAAAAGAACGCGAATTTTGGTTGACAGGTGACGTGCCCCATGTCATCCGTTTAAAAACAATCCATATTTTAATCAAATTTTATAATTTTTTCAACATTCAACACTACAAATCTCACCCCCTGTTATCATAGTCTTTTATTCTCTCTAAAATAATGAATTCATGGGATATGTTTGTTCATATGATGCACAGAACACTCACTTTCTGTGATGGTTTATGGTTGACGTCAAGTACCGTGCACCTTAGCATCGGTAATCATTGCGTTCGGTCTGCCAAGTTCCTTTAACTCCTTTAACACTTTTAACTCCAAACGACCCTTTTAGCGTTAGGTTTAGTCCGATTAGTGATAGTTTAACACGCTTAAATGTCATTTAAAAGCACCCTAAAATTTGTCCCGCTCCAGCCCCTGACTGACCGAACTCGCCTAAGGGGGGAAGAAAGATTTACAATCATAAAAAGAACGTACATCTCAGCTTAGTCGATGTAAGTTAGCTCAGATTAGTTGTAAAAAGAAAACGACTAATGTTTGGTGTTAAATTTCTATGAGCTAGTCAAAATTTCTTAAGTGTTTTCAGGAATAACGAATTTTATTGAAAATTAACGTATTTTATTACAAATTAAGGCTCCTTTCCTTTCTCAAAATTAATTAAGTGATCAGAAGCCATATATTTAGAGTGAGTGGCTGGTTGCCGAAAACGCCTCCTATCACATTTAGGATGGGTGACTTCAAGGAGATAAGCACATGACATGGGATTATCATTTTAACCATTTAAGACGTTGAGTAAATATAGCAGCAGGATTCTCGAGTGGTGGTCCAATAGGCCTCAAAGGCTGCGGTACCACCACGGTTGAGGTGTAATGTAAAAGCCAATTAGTCATACAAATGGTTAAATAAATTAAATACAAAGGGGTTAAATGCCAAATATTTTGATTTTGACTCATAGAACAGTACTATGTACCACTATTTATGTCCTGACAAAAGTGATAAGTATAGTCCTTCCATTATCAATTGCAGAACAGTTATGTGGGGAATCATCAATATTTAATATATACGCACGGTACTCATGCCAAATTAAGAAACGAAAAATAATGTTTACTCCCCTTATACAAAGCGGTAAATATTAAACGAACCATCAGTTGTTTACCAATGAAAACATCGAATCGTAAACTTAAATGCACTGTATTGGCCGAAGGTTTACGGAAGGCAGGTGTTCGAAAATATTCCTGGAAGACAGTCTGCGATATCAGTGGAGTACTGTCGTGCGGTGTGTTTTGTATGTGTGGTTGGTTTAATTTAAATTTCTTTTAATAAATATAAATATGGCATTCTTTAGACCATGGGCGAATGAAGAAAATGAAATTGCACCGTGTAGTGAGATTAAAGACAGGTATGACTTTAACGATAAGGATTTAGATATACAAACACAACAAGTATTTAAATATATTCGAATGTTTAAAAAAGGAAAATATTCAGCAGTCTGATAATGCGTTCATAATAACAATTGCTGAATTAACTAAAGTAAATAAATTTTCCGTTTATCCGGTAGTCACGAAAGGGGTTGCTGTGGATTATTCATAAAACCGAAAAACATGTAAAGAAAAACTGAAATCAGTTGACAGAGCTACCCAAGATTTTATACGAAGGACAATTTATAGTTTATATAAGGAGAACAGGGTTCCGACATTGGAAGTAATACAGCAAAAGGTGGCAGATTTTCCAGAATACACTTATACCAGTTTGGAAACATTGCGTCAAGTTTTGTGAGCATGTGGTTTTAAACACAAAAAATTGAATAAACAGATGGCAATCACCGAATCGTCAAGGATAGTTCAATGGCGACAAGATTATTTGCGTCAGATAAAAGGCTACAGAAGTTCTAATAGACACATAATTTATCTAGATGAAACATGGTTTGACAGTCACGATGTAGTATATTTCGGTTGGGTTGGCAGTAGTAAAAATTGCTGTTTGAATGGGCCATGTTCTAAAGGAAAACGCATTATAATAGTACACGCTGGAAGCAAAGACGGTTTCGTGCCTAATGCTTTATTATTATCTGCTAAACAAATTAAAAACTGTGCAGCTGATTATCATGAAGATATGACAGCAGAATTATTTGAAAAACGGTTTAATGAACAACTTTTACCACAGTCAGTAATCGTTATGAACAACGCATCCTACCACTCGCGGCAACTCCTTAAAATACCAAATAGTAGCAGTAAAAAAGCTCAAATTTTAGCTTTTGTCTGAAAAAAATATTCCTATTCCTGCCAGTGATAGTAAAAAAGGACCAACAAACAAAGAATTGCTTACTGTTATTAAAGGTATAAAGTTAGAAAAAATGTATTATATTGACAAGCTGTGCAAACTCTTCTAAGACTACCTCCTTACTATTGCATATTTAACCCTATAGAGTTAATATTGGCAAACTTAAAATCAGAATTACGAAAATGTAATCAGTCTCCAGAACTGAGTAAAGAAGTTGTAGAACTCGTAAAGAAAGTTCTAGCAGCAGACCACCAAGAGCTTTGGAAAAACTGTGTTGAACATGTTATCAAAGAAGAAGATGAGTATGTAGTATTACCCTCTTTACAACCCATCATAATTCAACCAAATGATGACTCTAGTTCAGAGGATTCAGACTGCCATGATTATTTATAAAGATACTTTAGAATTGAATTGTTTTTTTTCTTTTGTTTTATTTGCAAAGAATTTATTTTCCTTCATGGTTTTTTCTTTGAAATTTCGTTTTCCAGAAAAAGAACGAATGGTGTACAAAAAGGGTTCAGTTCACGTCTGGTACCCTGTTTAAACCAAACGCCCTTACAGGCAGGTACATTTTACTGGCTTTTTTACGTTTTATAATTTAATATTCAATTGTAGCAAGTTAACGAGCTATAATGATTTTTTTTTTAAGTCCAAGTAAGATTACAATTAAGTGCATCTGTCTAAATAAGGGCGTATAATAACGTCCAATTTATAATTATTCGATTTCCTTTTAACGAATACTTTCTTGCATATGATATATATTAAAAGTATTAATAAAATAAATTTATAAAATGAGGTAGGTATCTACGCCTATGGCAGATCAAACAAAATTGTCGGTAAAGGTTCCGAACGAGTTTTTATGATCTGCAATTGATAATGGAAGAACTATACCAACCTTAGATTTTTTTATCTAAGGTACCAACATTGTATTTAGATCAACTAGTAGAACAATGCCAATGCAAATTTTTTCGGGGGGAGTATCAAGTGATTAGAAAGTATCGTGATCTTAACAGAACTGGCTTATCAACTGGTGGTGGAATCTATTGGCTGTTAAAAATAACATCTCGTGTGTTAAAATTGATACAACTTTCTTTGATCAAAATTTTGTAAATATTGATTTAATCATTTACAGAAGTCTACTCGCACATACTTCGTTTATGTAAATTTTGGTATATGTTCCCCCCTCTGTTTCACTAGATATGTTAGTCATTCTTTGAATGTCTAGAAGGGCTTGAAATGTTGACTAATGGAAAAAATTTAATTATAGGTGAC